TTGCTATATTTTAAAAGAAAATTACTCATTTTCATTGGAAAGGCATATTAACAAAGACTGAAAGGTCTTCCAGCCACTGGTTCAGTCCACAAAAAGCTGCAAAAGCCAGAGCTGAGCCAATCTGAAGCGAGGAGCCTTCTCTGGGTCACACACACACAGGTGCATGGTCCCAAGGCTTTGGACAATCCCTTGATGCTTTCCCAGGCAACAAGCAGGGAGCTGGATGGGAAGCGGAGCAACCTTGACACAAACCAGTGCTCACATGGATTGCTGGTACGTGGAAGGGACAGATAGCCAGTGGAGCCACTGTTGGCTTCTATTACTTGTTTTTGCTAATCCAATTCTATGAGAGGACACATGTATTGATCCAAATGTAAACGACTGTGAGTAAAGTTACAGACCTTGTAAGGACACATCTTACAAAGCACCAATACCAAAATGTTATTCCAAAGTTTGTTCAAAAACAAGCTAAACTAGGTATCATGTGTCAACACATCACTTGTGGTCCCCATCACAGATATTTCTGTGTTATGCAAGAGCCATTCACACAGATACTGGATCTGTGACCCCTGTTAATCACATCTATTGCATATGATTTTGTTTCTCTGAACACCATGTATTAGCTACAGTCCACATGGCTCAAGTTATGGAAGTGGTTTCCCTCTCAAGCAATTGACATTGGGACTGAAAGTTGAATTGGTTTCTGCAGATGCAGTCCTTCCTCCTTATTCCTAAAATTGATTTTCCATACACTCAATAACAGTCAACCAGTGTTCACAAGCATTAAATGGAAAATCTGATATTAAAAATAATGAATTCAGAAATTCCAAAAATAAATAAGCTTTATGCTATGTATCACAGCAATGATATTGCATCTCCCCAATTAGTTCCACCTTGGACTTTAGTCAAATTATTCCTTTATTCAGTGTATCCACATGTGCACTACTTGCTTGCTAGTCACTCAGTGGCCATCTCAGTTATTGGGTTGATTGCCATGATATCTCAGTGCTTGCGTTTAAATAATTACATAATTGTCCAGTGTACAAGCACAGGGACGCTAATGTCTTGGATATACCCAAGATAATCTGCAAGGTATTTTATTAAAATGAAAGGGTGAAAGCTCTTCATTTGGGAACAATACACACACACCCACCCATTGTAAAGATCTGATGACTGTTGTGTATTTCTATCCCTTATTTATAAACTTCAGCACAGACAATTTACTAATATATAGAAAAAGGAAAGCTATCTTGCTTTTAGTACTATCATCAGTTTCAGGCACCCTCTGACAGGAATGAAGCTCTGGCTCCTGACTTTGGCCTGCCTCAGTCCTGGCTGTTGTAGCTATCTGGGGATTGAACCAATAGATGGAAAATTCTTCTCTCAGCATCCTTATAACTTTTTCAAATAAATCTTTTTTAAAAAAATGTAAATGCATTTTTATCACATGGAGCTCAGCATGAAAACCTCTGAGAATTTCTGAGGCACCATCAGGAGGAATGAGGTGGCTCTGCAGTGTGACAGGCAACCATCTCCCCACTGGGTCCTGTCAGATCAGATTAACAAGAAATCTTGTTCTTCTGGAGACATCTTCATGTATTTGGTGGCTTGTGTCTTATTCCTTTGGATAGAGTGGAACTCAAACAGGAGCCCATGGGACTCCACAATTCGCCTAGCTGCTGAAGAACAAAGCCTTTGGCCTTCTACTCACCACTAGGAAGCAAGGATTTGTTTTCAGTACTTTGTCATTCCCTGCTGTCTGTGCTGCTGCTGCACATGGTAGGGCTGCTCCAGGCCTCCTCTGGCTCCAGAGACCAGGCCCAACTTACCCAAGGTCCTGGAGAAGACACCAAGCCTTTTCCTGTCCAAGAACATGGTTCAACACTTATCCCCAGGTGATGGGTAGTGAAAATTTCCATTTCCTGCAGGATAAACCCTTTCCTCTCTGCATGGTGATACAAGGTCCTATGGCCTCAACAAAATAATCACAGAACAATTTTGTCTATGATAGATTTTTCCCAGACTGGATGCTTGTGTCATATCCTTGATAATTTTGCCTTATTTAGTGTCATCCACCGATTAGACAGAGTAATTTAGTCTATGATAGGTTTTTCCCAGACTGGATGTTTGTGTCATATCCTTAATAATTTTGCCTTGTTTACTGTCATCCACCAATTAGACAGTTGTTCGTCATATTAAAAACGAAAGCAGCAAAACATCTTAACTAATATCCAGAAGTCAAGCTGCTTGTTAACATAAGAAAATTTTTAAAACATAAATGTAAAAAAGCATCTTTTTATAATCATGATCTTATCTGATCCTCACACCCCTGAGGACTGACAGTTTTATGACGACACATTAAAATGAGGAAACTAAAATGAAAAAAAAATTCTTTGACTCCATGTCTCCCATTTATTTCTCTTCAACACAACAGACTTCCACTAAAACTTACCAAAAGCTCAGCTTGGGATGCCATGTAAGCCACTCTCATGCAAGTGGACATCAATGAATTTCTGATAACTAGAGCAGGTTTCAGTCTCCTTTCCTATTCAGCTCTAAATTTGTCTTTATAGGAAGTAATGGTAGCCAGTTTATTGAGTACTTACCATGTGTAAACAATCAAACTATCATTTTACATGTCTTATTTATTTTCATAGATTTGGGTAATGAGAGTTACACAGAGAGAGAGAGCACATTCATCTTCTGGTTCACTGCACAGATGGATTTAAAGGCCAGCATCTGGCTAGGCTGAAGGCAGAAGCCAGGCACTTCATCTGGGTTTCCGACATAAATCGCAGGGGCCCAAACACTGCTTTTCCTAGGCCATTAGTAGGTAGCTAAATGAGAAGTGGAGTGGCCAAGACTCAAACTGGCACTCAAATAGGATGCCAGCTTTGCACTATGCTGCAATTCTAACCCCCTACATGCCTTATTTAAACTCAACAACCATGTAATTCATATCTGTATCAGCAATGAGCAACCCAAGGCCCAGCGCAGTGACACTGTTAGTTTAAACTTGGGATCCAACTTGAAGCTTCCAGTCTTACCAGTCAGAATTCGTGACTTATGTGCACAACGATCTCTAAAGCTTGACGTCATATATTTTATCTTGAGTTAAAGCAAAGACAAAATATTTCCAGTAATCACCAGATAAGAATCAGTGGAAATGTTGTTTTTTTCATTAAAAAAAGTCATTTGAACTTTTTCATTTTTAAACTTCAATGATCTGGAGAAATTACTCTCCTAAATTATTCTTTATCCTGGCCATTCAGGATGCATGAGCTTTTATTCTTTTACTTTGTATATCCCTGCTAAAATTTATCATTATTACTATTGGTATTTTAACTGCACAATTACCTTAATAAGGCAGAGAGGTTTGTTTGAACAGCTCATTTAAAAAAATACAGACCTACTTTTGTGTAAATGTCTAATTGCAACAATATTCATGCTACACTCTTCTAGCATAATCATTTTTGTCTTCCCTTTTATTTCAGCTACTCCTATTACAATTAGTGACACTTTTCTTCCTGCAGTTATTTTTTAAATATTATTTTCCCTTCTGTTTTTAATGGTATAATCAATCAGTAAACTATTTCTAGCCCCATTTTTCCCCTTATATTTTCAAAGTTCTATCCCTTTTCATTTCATTAAGGGCTACCTGCCCTTTTTCCACTGCTCACAGAACACACATATTTCCCTAATGTGTTGAAAGAAATGATATCGTTGATTTCTTATACTCCAGAGGCTCTGCCTTTAATGTTTTCTTCTCATTTCAGTACACTCAAAGCCTTTGTGCTTTTTTTAAACAAGTATACTCCAAAAGTATGCAGAAGATACAACTATGAGGTAGTATTACTACAAGATGTCTTCCCTCTCTGGATGTATCAAACGTTGAAGCCAATTCTTCTGTTGTGAAGGGGGCTGGCTGTGACGCTCTTACAAGTTTTGTTTGTTTTTTTTTTTTTTTACATCACCAAGACATCGGGAATTGTACTTTCCACAAGGGCAAGGCATTTTATTGAGCCCAACTGATCTCTTAAAAGCGGAGAGGTTTTTTGTTCCTTTGTTTTTGATGATTTTCTTCTGGAATCCACTCTGCCCATCTCTCACCCACAAAAAGCAATCTTTTTGGGAAAAATTCCAGTGACTCAAAGCTGACTTTAGCAAATTTCCCACCAGTGGAAACAGCACTCACCAACCCTGTACCCATTCATCTTTGAGGATAGAAGTTGATCTTGATGCAACAGCATTTCCTTTGTTAGTGCCATTGGAGAAGCTGGTCATTCCTCTCCATCAGGGTTGAGATTTTCCCAGTGTCCAGTTGGATATCAGTTCATGCTGTTCTTCTAATACAGAAATCTTTTTCTTGGGGTAGGAGTGTAAGGGATTATAGTAGAGCTCTCTACAATAAATAAATCTTATCTCTACAAACAAATAAGTCTCATTTCTACAAACAAATCTTTTCCTACCATTCCCAAACATTTTAATCCTAGCCATTGGTGAACAATTCTAAACTATGACCTAGGGCCAGTATTTGGGGATAGCCTATAAAGCTATCACATGCAATAGAGGCACCCCGAATGGGTGCTGGCTGGAGTCCTGGCTGCTCTGTTTCCAGTGATACTCCATTCTAGTGTGTTTGCGAAAGCAGCAGCAGATGGCCCAAGTGCTTTAACCCCTGTCACCTTCACGGGAGACCTGGATGAAATTCCTGCAGTTGGCTTTGGCCTTGCGAAGCCCTAGCCAGTACAATCAATTTGGGAGTGAATCAACCAACACATAGAGCTCTCCCTCCCTCTCTCTGCTTCTAACTCTTCCAAATAAATAAATATTAGAAAAGAACTGCATTCTAGGTTTCCAGCTACATCCTTTTTGCAAGTCTGCAAGAGTGGTCCTTCACTGGTAGCTAATGCTTATCCTATTTTAATGTGACTTTAAAACAACTTGTTAAAACTTACTTACTTGAAGGGTGTTGGGGGAGGGGATTTCCCATCTGTTGGCTTAATCTCTGAATGGTTCACAAAGAGCCAAGGGTAAGCCAGATCAGCGTCAGGGGCTTGAGGTTCCACAGACACCTCTCAAATGGATGGTAGAGACTCAATACTTGAAGCATCATGTGCTGCCCCGCAAAGTGCTCAATAACAGGAAGCCAGAACTGGAGCATGGATTCAGACCAAGGGATTCCCATATGAGACACAGGCATCACAAGCGGTATCTTCACTACTGCACCAATATTGCTCTGCAACTGCGACTTTTAATCTCATAATCTATTATGAGCAATTCAATGTGCCAGCTGAGTTCATAGTCCTATTCCTAATCCAAATGTTTGTTTTGTATATCTTTTCAAATATTTCCAAAGGTTTTTTGACTCTAATACTTCAACTTGGGCAGATAGAATGAATACACATACATTGAGAACATGGGGAAAATGTAGTATTTTGGTTTAAAAAAAAATTTTATCACAAAATTTTCCTACTTCTTTACTCAAACAAAAGACTAAATAGATAAATATCTCTACTCCCTCCACTCTAAGCAACTACACAGATATTTATAGAAGCAGCCCACCTCACTGACAGCAGATGATCACTGTGGGCCATGCTGGTAACCACAGGAGCGCACAGCCGATGACGTTAGAAATCTGCCTTGTGGCTTCCGTTTGCTCAGCAATGCTGTGTTGCAGAAACTTACAGGGTCACTTGCGTTTCCCTTAAGAGATACTTTGAAAGGACATCTAAAAGAAGTATCTGAACAACTGAGGGCATTTAAAAATCCTATTTATGTTGATAAACTGTATATTATAGAATTAAAACATTTGAACATTTAAACTAAAGCACATCTCATTACATGTATCTACTACTACTGCACACTATATATGTACTACCAGTTTTTGACTTTAAAAGGATGCTTATGTCACTATTCCAGATTGACTCAGACTTTCAGAAAGTCATTTTAATACAGACAAGAGTTGGATATATTAATTATGCTGGGTTTTTATTTCTACTTGATTCCTACTTCTCCAATGCCCCATCTTCCTGTCAGCTATTTCCTAGGTTCCTCGGTATCACAATGCTTCCTACCTCCCCCATCAATGTCCTCAGTTTCCTTCATTACTGTTCGGGAAACTTCTGACATATATTAAACAGGCTTAGACATTCTGGGTTTATTACTAAGAATGTTAATGCATGTAAAATATTTGGCTTAGTGCCTCAATGATGTTGACCATCCTCTCGAGAGAAAAAAAAAAAGTTTTGTTATCTAGCCAACACTAAAATTTCACAAACTCCTTCTGGACTAGAAGTAGCTTTTTGGCCTATCACATGGGCAAGGGAAAAATCACTTTTCTAGCTATACTGAAAATGTAAAAAGGGAGGCTCACAATAAGCTGAGTGGCCCAACGTATATGAGTTCCTGGTGTTGCAAAACATACTACCCCATGAATACCAAATAGGGAAGGTCTAATAATCCTCTCAAAGAAAAATACTTGTCATAAGAAATGTGTAAAGGGAAAATACAGAGGGAGATAACTATTTAGGAGGCACCCAGTACGTGTGGTAACTTGATTCCAAGCATAGTTTCTAGACCCATGGGTCACCTGAATCGCAGCTCATCATGCATGCCAGCACACAGCCGTTCTGCACAACTCGACTCCCAGGTGCATGGGTGAAAGAAAGGTCAACGATGCACTGTCCATGTCCATGTCAAGTCTCTCTAGGAGACTCTGACTCAGTTGGAGATGGTGGACTTCTGACTTAGGACTGCGACAGGGTACAGGGTCTCCATTCCAGGCAAATGAAGGAGAGGCAAATAAATGCTGGGCCTAGTATAGCAGAGGGACTACCTACACAGGACAACAAGTGTGCAAAAAAGAAAAAATCCAATAGAATTGTTAAGACAATTCTTTGTAAAACAGCACTTACAAATAAAGAACCCATCCAAAGTCAACACTGAATTTTAAAATTCACTTTTTTGAACTAAATGGTTTGAATTATGAAAAAAAAAAGCATATACTGGAATTGCACAGCAGAAAATCAATTGCTTCTGAAAAGGAGTTACCATATGGACAAAACCTTATGTCACAAATATTACTACTGGGCTGCTGTGCAGAAAATCAAACTGCTTCTTGAGATTATTTAGTAGTGAAGCTCTCCCCCTAGTGGAACTAAGTAGGAATTTTAACAAAAAGGGTGAAATCATTTTCATTAGATTTACAGAATTAAATAAGATAAGCTGCTTCACACTCTATGCAACCTACAAAGCAGTGTAAAGATTTGGTTAAAATGTAAGGTGTCTTATGTCTCTATTAGAGCTGACATATAAAATTATTTTAGTATTTTGAGCTGAACAGGTGATATGGACTGAAGGTATAGATGTGTTCCTCCAAAGTTCCCACGTTAAATCAAGGTATTGGATGTCTTTGAGGTATCTGGCCTCCTGAGTAGGATTACTGCCCTATCAAGAGGCCTAAGAGGCCCTTTCTCCCTCAGAAGAATTACCCAGGTGAAGGCAATGGCTTGGGAGTACAGCAATTTCACCCCCCTCAATGAATATCCCTCTACAATGAAATGCTACTCACTGAAAATTTTAACTCAAAAAACAACTCAGATATAATCCAATTAACTGATGTATAACTTACTGGTCATTACCAAAGTCTCAGCCACCAGCACCCACCATGCTGGGGCCCACTGAGAGTGGATTTGGGATGAGCGAGGTATGTTGACACAGCAGCTATAACATGCAATGAGGATGCTCATTCCCCATTGTCGAGTCCCTGCAATGTGTCAATCCAGCTTCCTGTGAATGTGCACCCTGGCATCAATAGGGAATGGTGACTCAGTTACATGAGTACCTGTCAACCACCTGGAGACACAAAGCAAATCCCAGGCTACTGGATTCAGCTTGATAAGCTATTGCCAACATTTTAGGAGAAATTAGATGAAAGGCAATTTCTTCTTTTCCAACTCTTTCAGATCAAATCAGCAAGTCTGGCTTTAAGCTTGGCATGGTAACTACAGAGGCCTAAGTCCCGGGACCAGGGCTCCTACCTGGTCTGTGAAGATGCACACTGCAGTCAGTTCCAGATTCTGCCTTACTTTTCAACAAACACTGGGACACAGGGATTATTTTCTGTACCTCAAGAGCAACTAAGTTTTACATCTGAGGGCTGCTACAGAAAAACTGATTTGGCTCTCACTACGTACCTGTAACAGTGTGTGGAGATTTGGAGTATTCCCTTAAATAATCAAGTCTGTAACTATTATTACCTCTTGGTTTTTCATATACTTGACAACCACATAAATCTTGTTTAAATCTGATTGAATCTGCTCATTCACCCTGTAAGAAGCATAAAACCTATAAACAAAAGCTTGCAAAAACAGTTCTGAATGTGTCTGGGTTTAAAGCCTCTCACTTCATCTTCTTGAAAAAATGCCAATTCTAGCCAGATTCTATTTGTTTCCACTGGAAGTACTCATACTTGCCTTGCCTTCAACCAAAATAACTGATTTGATCTGTTTCAAATACTGGGATTCCAAATAAGACTGTACTTGAAAAAGAAAACTGGTCCCATGGCTGAAACCACAAAAGAATTAACCAATTCTAATATCCTATTGACATCAAAAGTCACACTTGCAAGGCAGAGAGGCATAGCCTGCATGTTACTGTCACATTTTTTATTAAACAAAACATTATCTAATTGTTATAAATCTTTGTATTAGATTATATAAAATGTTTTCAATTTATCATTTTTTTAACTTATTTACCTCTATTAGAAAGTCAGACATACAGAGAGGAAGATCTTCCGTCCACTGATTCACTCTCCCAGTGGTCACAATGGCCAGAGCTGAGCCAACTTGAAGCCAGGAGCTTGGAGCCTCTTCCAGGTCTCCCATGCGGGTGCAGGGTCCCAAGGCTATGAGCTGTCCTGGACTCTTTCCCAGGCCACAGCAGGAAGCTAGATGGGAAGCTGGGCTGCTGGAACTAACCTCAACATGTGCAAGGCAAGCACTTTAGCCACTAGGCTTCCCTGCCAGGCCCTGCTTTGAATTTTAATAGTGTTTATTGCTCTGTAGCAATGCTATAAATCAACAATGAAGAAACTAAAACCAGAAATATGAAAAAATTTCCACCAAAGACTTTGAGAGCAAATAGCCAAACTGGATTTGAAACCTGATGAGACTCCAAACATTACGGTTTTAAGTATCATGCCACTGTCTCACATGTAGGACTAAGGAAAGATTACAAAAAGATTTATTTTTAGGGGCGGGGGCTCAACAGGCTAATCCTCCACCCTCGACACCAGCATCACATGAGCGTTCCTGCTGCATTACTTTACCAGCTCTGCATCCTGAGAAAACAGCAGAGCATAGCCCAAATCCTCACGACCTTGCACCCATATGGGAGACCCAGAAGAGGCCACAGCTCCCAGTTTCCCATCAGCCCAGCTCTGGCCATAGTGGGCCTTTTGGGGTGTGAGCTAGCAGATGGACGATCTTCTCTCCATGTCTTTCTTTCTCTATATAAATATGGCTTCGATACATTTTTTAAAGAAAAACTGGCTTTTTTTTAATGTAGTGATGGCTTTTGTTGGAGAATAGAGCAGAAGGGAAAAAAGGATGTTGACAAGAACCAAAATCTCAATGTGGCAAGACTATAGCCAAGTCACAGATAACGATGGGAAAAAAAAGTCTTTTCTCTTCTCCCCCCTACCATAATGTCCATTTGTGTGAGCATGTACTAACGTGAGTGTAGTTTCGCAATGGTGATGGTGGCGAAGGGGTTATTTTCCACATCAAAAATTGTAAAACTTACAGAAAATGAAACTGCAGAGCAAGGTATATACAGTACTTTATCACCCACTTTCAATTAAGAACTCACAATCCCGTTTCATTTACATACATTTCTTTCTGTGTAGTACTTTGAAGTCAATACTGCACCATTACAATTTCATTAAATATTCTGGCAGGTGTCTGTAGGAGGAGCTTTAAGATATTAAAAATACTTGCAACACCATTAACACAACTCACAAGCTCCTTAATATCACTACATGACTAGTGTTCAATTTTTTTTCATGTAAATTTTCATTAAGTTCTAAATCAAGTTCACGGTGTGATTGGTTAATGTCTCTTCAATCTCTCTTGGATGCTCCGTCCCATTTCTTTCCTCCTTGCAACTTAAACAGTTGGGTCATTTAAAAGATTTCTTAGTCTGATTCTTCATTAAATGAAAGTTGTTTCCCTTTGCTGTTGGTCAATGCTATACAATGCTCTTTCTGTTAATGAGTGGACAACCAATCAATTTGCTTTGTTTTCATAAGAACACTTTATCGGCAGCAGTATGTTACTCCATCAGAAAGCACATGTGAGATGCTGCCTTCCACGTGAGCATTGTTTTTAGTCCTTTGCTGCTCCACTTCCAAACCAACTCTCTGCTAATCTTCCTGGAAACGCAGAAGTTAACACAAGCGCTTGGGCCGTGCACATATGTAGAAAACACCAAGCATCTCCTGGCTTCTGACCCAGTCCAGCCCCAGCATCTGGAACTATCTGGGCAGTGAACCAGTGGGTGGGAGATCTCTCCCAGTGTTATCCTCTATGTAACTCTTTCAGATAAACATACCTTTTCAAAAAGAAAAAGGCTGTCTCTTTACACATTTTTAGTTATGGTTAACCAATACTTTATCTCCATTAGATATTGCAAAATAATACTGCAATCAGGTCATTTACTTCAAAGTGGAGAAAAACACTCCTCATTTACTATTTAACTACCCAATTACACTGGGGAATTTTCACAGAAGACTTCGCTTAGCCGTCGTCTAAACATGAGGTAGTTCATAGCATCCTCCAGTAGTGACCAATCAATGCTTTGATTTTTGATCTGTTCTCTTTGGATAGTATCATTTTGAATTCATGTCTCAATCCTCTGCAGTTATTTTTATGTTGATTCTCAAACTGGCTCACCAGTTATGAGAGCACAATAATCTTTGGCAATTTTGTTGCTTTTTAGTATTTATAGATGTTATAGGTATACCTTACAGATTTCCTGAATATATTATTTCTTAATAGACAAATTGCCCTGAGTTTATGTTGATAAGTTGATGTTTCACCTCAATAAACTCAGTAGCAATGAGTTTAACTTAATGGAATTAGGACACCACCTAATCATTTCACTTAAGCGGCTACATATTTGCATACATTAAGTGATGGTTCTATAATTTTGTAAGTATAGTTAAAGTAACTTCAAACTCAAATCAACAAGCATGCTTTAAAATCTAGTTTCTAATATGCATCTGTAGTCCTACTCCTCTTAAATAGTAATCCTATAACATTGCCCTGATTTGCTCCTGTCTATCATACACTATACTTACAGTAGTACCTATCTTTAACACCCTATGGCAGCCACTGTATGACTATCATTATTAACATACCCATTTCTTAGTGTTTATTTTTGCTATTAGGAATAGTTATGCAATAGCTTAATGTGCAAACTCTTTAGAAAAAAATTTTTTTACAAGTATTATGTTGACAGCAGATTCTTACAAATAGGATTGCTAGAGTCAAAGTATAAATTCATAAGAAATTCTGGAAGCTATTAACAAATCTTACCTTCAGAGAGACAATGCTGTAATGACCAAAGCAATGTCTGAGTAGATATTTCACCAATATCTTGTCAATAAAATGTGACTTGGGATTTTGCTGCTCCAGAGGTGAGAAACATTAACTTGAAACATTTTTCTCATTCTGAAGTTGTCACTTCTTACAGTTAAGAATTACATGCACTTATACTATGAAGTTTCTTCACTTCCCTAAAGAGCCCAGTTTTCTTTAGGGTTGCTGCCTCCCCGTTCCTTTTTTTATCTCGGAAACCAGTCTGAACATTATTAGTCAAGTTCAGTCTCTAGCCTTCTCTAATCACATAACTTGTTCGATACTTTTCTTGAGAAGTGGTGACCGATCCTGAACATTCCATTGCATTCAGACTAGCATTTTGCCTGAGGAAAATATTGAGTAGCTCCCTGTCAAAGAAAAATAAATCCTGCATTTTGTTAAGTAACGTTTGAGAATTTAGGTTTTCCTCAAACTTCAAATGTGTCATTTCCAAATAACACTTCTGATTATCCCTAATTAAGAACTATACCCATTGTGACGTCAAGCATATTTTCTCAAAACGAATCATTTGTGAAGCAAACTGGCTGCATGTGACACTTAATCAAAACCATTCTGCCTTTCTACTGTTCCCTTGGCTATAAAGCTGGAGAAAATGCTTCCTACTGTATCTAAGTGTAGACATCAATTTATATCACTTACTTTTCAAATATCTGATGTCTGCTCAAATCCCTTTAATATAAAATTCCAAATAATCTTTTCACACTCCTATTTTGTTTTCCAAAATGTCAGCTACTCATTGTATTCCTTAAGCTGTTCTTTTCCCCTCATCTTTTTGCTTTAGAACACTAGTTCAAGTTAGGCCCTTTGGACTAGAAACACGAGTACTGCTTAACTCGGAAACTAATTTCTGGACTTTTGCAGACAATTGAATCAGAAACTGTGGGGAAGAACAGCAAAAACAAGCCTGATAGCTCTGATGCATGATAAAATTTGAGAAACCAATGGCTTCCAACAGCTCCCATAATTCTCAGACTGGCATTGCTTAAGGCAGTTAGCTTTCTATTACTTTTTCTGTAAGATTTATTTTCATTGGAAAGTGAGATACACAAAGAGGAGAGACAGAGAGGAAGATCTTCAGTCTGATGATTCACTCAAGTGGCCACAACAGCTGGAGCTGTGCCAATCTGAAGCCAGGATCCTGGAACCTCCTCCAGATCTCCCACACGGGTATAGGGTCCCAAGATTTTGGGCTGTCCTCAACTGCTTTCTCAGGCCACAACCAAGGAGCTGGATGGGAAGCAGGGCTTCCGGGATTAGAACCGGCGCCCATGTGTGATCCCAGTGCATGCAAGGTGAGGACTTCATCTGCTAGGGTACCACACTGGACTCTATTACCTTCATATACACTCTTTTCCAATTAGTCTGTAAGTTACTTAAGGAATCATGACTTCAACTTTTATCCCATTCAGTAATATAGCATGACACTAGCCAAGTTTCCCAAACTGCTTGATTCGCCCCACTTTCATTCTGAATAGCTCAAGAGACTTACATTTTTGCACTAAAATAGAAGGAAGAGAGTTTCTGATACATGGCTAGAGTCAGTATTCTCTTCTTTGCCATTTAAGGATTTCACAGTAAGGAAGGGGAACAAAATGAAGAAGTAGCTTGTGGTGGGCTCAACAAATAGTTTCACTAAGGTGACCATGCCCTAATTCTTATAGTAATCCATGAAAATGTTACCTGCATAATGAGATTTTACAGCGTTGTCTACGTGAAGGAACTTAAGCAAGAGAAATTCTTCTGATTATCCACATGTCCCTGTTGAGAGCTTCCTAACAGCCTTATAAGGAGGAAGTGAGATATGACCACCACAGAGAAGTCAGATAAGTACAGAAGCACAAGAGTTGTATAGATGCTACTCTTCCTGGCTCTGATGATAACAGAAGGGCAGTTTCACAAGATAGAAAGGAATAAACCTATAGAAGACTGAGAAAATAAGGAAACAGATACTTCCACTGGCCCTCTCTATAGAAGGAACCAGCCATGCCAATGCTTGGATCCAGTGGAATAGTTAGTACTTTGGGCCTCCAGAACTGTAAGAGAACTGATTCATCATTTTAAGCCACTAAGGTTATAGTAATAGGAAAACTATTACAAAGCTTTTGATAAGATTTTATTGTGAAATATTGGATTTAGAAAAAAGTACAAAATGTCAATGGTCAAGATGTGTACAAGGACAGTATTTCAACAGTCTATACAAGTGAACAGCTTAACAGGTTCACTGCAGAATGCATATTCAGACCAATACAATCTAAAAAGGACCGCAATATTCACAGGCTATTAATAAATAACAAGCCTAACGACCCTCACTGTTAAATGCTAATTGTGGAAAACAGGCTAAAGCACAATACGGCACACCATATTCATTTCATTACAGGTCCACATTTAAACAGTATCTGCTCATTATGTCAATACACTACAGATCCAGGACTGAGAGTCTATTACTAGCTCATAAAATTGCAAAAAATGAAGGTATAAAATAAAATCTTGGATTAAAGAGAGGGTATTTATTTAATTAAAACTACATACCGTGAAGCCCCTAAAAGGTTTTACCCCTTGGAATTCACATTATATAGATTCCTTTTAAATTTTCCTTTTAATTTCAGCATAAAGCATGGGTATGGGAAAAGAACATATTTCTTTTGCAGCAGCCCCAACAAGGTTTAACAATTATTAGTTATTTTAGAACCATAATAATCACATCATGAATTCACAAATGGCTATGAAATTGTAAAGAAAGGTAATGATTATTTTATGAATTTAGCAAGTCCAACACTAAAATCCATGTTAAGGCATTGTCTATTATGATTAAGCATAATAAATTTAAATAGACTTATATAAATTTAAAAAGACTTATGTGAAGGTTTCATAAAAACAAGTTGGCTTAATTTTCAAAGTCTGGCTCATTAAATCTCTTGCTATCACTTAAAAATGCTCTAGACTGCATTTTTCCAATTTGGACAAGTTATTTGGCTTCAGCTTATAATAAACAACAATAGAATAGCCTAGGGAAACATGAGTCATATTAAAAACTTCTCATCATTATGTGTTTGTAAGAAAACCAATGTTTGGTAACTGCTCATAATCAATGCTCATATCAAAACAAGGTTAGTAACAGCTTACTTGGAAAAAATTACCTTTGCTTGTAAGTTCCAAAGAGAAGGATCTCTCATTTTTTACATGGTGTCTAACACTCTAACAACTTAGCACTGAGCTGAAAGGCTGAACTAACACAAAGAAGGAAACCAATTACATTCTAGGCTGAAAACTATTGGATCAGATCAGTATTAGTAACACGTAACCTATTCCATCCTACCTTAACTTTGAAAGGCAATGTTAAGAACTTTGAAGCAATTTACCGATAAACCGTGCCAGAACCCCACAGTACATTTCAATTTACTCAAAGATAATCAGAGATTATGTTTTTCATATTTGCATTAAATTTAAAAATTAAGTATGGTATATATAAATATTAACTTAGGCAACCACACACATAGGGAAAGAAGATATATAGAATACTGCAGAAACAAATTTTAAAGAAATTGTATAAAAAATAAAGGAAGAACATGTAGCTGCTCATAAAAATATGAAAAAAAGGCTATAACATACAAAATAAAATAACTTTATCAGAATTATTTAAAATTAAATATTCAAGAGAAGTACTGACATCATTAAGTAAATTCAATGGCCAAGACCTTCCCTTCTCACAAACAACCAATAAAATCACCTAAGGTCTATATGCATTATCAGTTAGTTCTTAATGCAACCTCCAACACATTACTAGCATCTTTATTTTGGAAATACGCTTCTGTACATATGCATTTATATACAAACATTTATTAAACATGATTTTAAAACAAACTATGTACAAAAGATCAGCATTCCTATAAATAAAAAACATTAGGCAGCAAAAAGGCACTTGTAAGTAAAAATCTACAGTTTTTACAAAACAAAAACACATTTTTACCTGGATACTGTACATTAAACAGTAATTCCTGTATCAATAATGAAAATGGTGGGTTACTAATGTTAATAATTTGACTTTTATAAACATATTTACATATATGTTGAAATTCATTTAATAAAAGCACCATGATTTTCTAAGTTTTCATATGGAGGCAAAGTAAAAACACATCTTGCAAACCAGTGCTTACCATTTCCTTGTTTAAAAGTTTTTTTATTTCTATATTGAAAACTGTGTAAGTCAGCATAGTGTTCAGCAAAAAGGACAAAAAATTTGTTCTGACCTGTGAAAACCATACTGACTCTATTATTGCATGTTGCGTTTATAAAGAACATTACCCATGCACCCCTTTAATACTATTGCTGGAAAAAAACTTTCCTGGATAGCAAACAATTAAAAAGTTACTTCAAACCAGTTGAAGTTTTATTTAAATGCTTTACAACTTAAAAAAATGTCCCTTACAAAAGTGAGTAAGAAACACGCCAATTTCATTTGGTGTGCAAAAATATTCTTCTACTACACAGAATTTAAGGGCGTCACAGTTTTTTTTTCCAAACTTAAACTGTAAGCACAAACACTAAACAAACTAGTTCCTCAAGGAGATGTTAGTATGCTTCCACTTTTGTCAAATTTTTTACCCTTTGACAGTGCTGCAACCTGTTTGAGTAGTTCTCTGTTTTTGGCCTGTGAGAGACAAAAATATTCAAGATTTTAAAAGTTGAACTATTGAGTCATGCTAAAGAATATCACTTAATTAGTTCTTTTTATCTATAAAACCAAAATATCACTGAAATAGTAATATGTTAGGTTCCTCTAAACTGAATATGAAGAAAGAAAATTTTAGGTCATCAGTCACCTTTTTCATTATCACTGTTAACCAAAGATAGAACTGGCTACCAAAAAAATTCCATAAAGTGAATCTACTGGAATATTTTCCAGCATGAGATCCTTTAAAAGATCTCTTCTACCAAACGCATCCACTTCTTTACCTTGCCAATGGCGCTGATTTTTTAAGGCCTCTAACAGAATTACCTATTATGATCTTAAGATTTTTGTTCTTTCAGGGACCAGCGGTGTGGGTTAGCAGCTAATGTCCTCATCTTGAACACACCAGGATCCCATATGGGTGCCGGTTCTAATCCCGCAAGCTCCACTTCCCATCCCGCTCCCTGCTTGTGGCCTGGGAAAGCAATTGAGGACGGCCCAAAGCCTTGGGACCCTGCACCTGTGTGGGAGACCTGGAAGAAGTTCCTGGCTCCTGGCTTTGGATCGGCATAGCATCAGCTGTTGCGCTCACTTGGGGAGTGAATCATCAGACAGAAGATCTTTCTCTCTGTCTCTCCTCTCTGCATATCTTTCCAATAAAAATAAAATAAATCTTAAAAAAAAAAAAGATTTTTGTTCTTTCAATTGTCAATTTTTTCTGTCATTTGCCTTTGGGGTGGCACCGACTTTGAGCAGTTTTCTAACATTACTGCTTTTAATTTCAAGAAAGCTCGATTTTCTTTTTCACAAAGATTCAAAAATCTTACTTTTACAGTGTCTAAACTGAATTTGTAATTCATTATCAAATGCCTCATCCATCACTGATCTTGTCCCTTAGGCAAGAAAGCCTGACATACACTCAAAAAAGGTCTATGTAGTCCTTCAGTGTATATTTTTATATTTTGATTACCTTTACCACACTCTATTTAACTTATTAGCCACGGAAACTCAGATTGTTGACATCTGAGATGAAAATTTCTTTAGAATCCATGCTGTCTTGAAATTAATAAAACTTCCAAAACTAATATATAGCATATATTTGAAAACTATTTTCATTCTCATGTCTTGAGGTTTTCTGTTAACTACACAGGCTTTTTTTCTTTTTTAATTTAGCGGTTCATTTTATACTTGTTAGTTTCTGTATGGTTATGAAATAGTTGTGGCTTTTTACAGCATCTATATGCTTCCCTAAAGTGGTTTTATCAAATGTAAACATTTTCAAGGCTTTGAATTTCTATTTCTCCCCCTCCTCAAATTAAACCCTTTTCAACTAACACCAAAGAACTGTAAAACGAAAATATTTTCACTGGAATTACATTTGAGGGTCAAATAATTTAATGTTCAGCTGCAAGAAAGGTTTTATTTTTCTCCCCTTTTTATAGTCATTAAATAACTAAAGTGGTAATGTAAGGTTTCAAATAAAAATACAGTTTATCATTTTAAAATACCCAAACCGTAAGAAGAAAAATATTTCAGCTTTTCCCACTAAAGTCAAACAATAGGAGAAGCTGTGAGAGTGCATCAAAGGCGCATGACTGGCTGTTACAGGAAATTCAGTCACACTCTAACAATCAACGGGTTTATTACCAAGTAGCCAGTCCTAATCAGTGTGGTATCAAAAAATTTTTTTTGCTAGCTAACTTCAGTTCTAGAGCAAACAGATCAACTGGCTACAAACAAAAAACTAAAGAAACATTTTAAAGCCAAAGTTATGAGAGGCCTGCCATTTTGACCCAGAGGTCTCCATTAGATCTATAGGAATAGTATATAAAAACACTTATCCTGATATATGTAACGATTAAAATGTAGTCTTAACACTTTTTGTGTTTCTAGTATTTTAGAAGTTAACTTTCAATCTCATTTCATATGTACTCAGTATCTTATCACTAATGAATTTATTGATAAATTACGCAAGTGTTCATAATCAGTACATTAATTGCCAATAATGGGACACAATCTCAAACTTGTCATATCTTAACTGAAGCACATTAAAAGTGATTATTATATAATGAGATATTTAAATAAACATACACATGCTATTTTATCCTAAATTACTTTATAATTATATACTCGGCAGAAGTAATATGCTTATTTTCAAAGTCTTAAGTTAAAAATGTTTTAAAATGTTGGTTTAAAGGAAAAAATATCTGGATTAGGAATTGAACAGATCTTGGGTCTAACCCTGACTCACTTACCTGCTGTATAACTGAGAGCAAATCTTCTCATTTGTAAAACAGAAACTCCACCACCCACCTTCAAATGAGTTCTAAAATCTAACCAAATATATAAAATACTTAGCCTAACAGTTACTGACACACATCAATCATGTAAATGCTTCCTTTCCCCTTTTACTTACCTATGAAATGAATGGCAGGCTTTTTTTTTTTTTTTAACTTCATGCTCTTTGTGTTTAGGGGAATGTTACAATTCTTTTATTTTGATATTCAGTGTTTATTCACGGGTCTTTCATTTTATAAAGTATTCTACAGTTTTTAGAGCAAGATAAATTTTGTGTTTAATGGTTCTATTCCTTATATAAAGATTATAATTTTTGTGTTTGCCCATTTCAGCAGCGACCAGTACCAACACACTGGCTGCTAAAGAGAGAATGACAGTGTGTCTAGCAGCAACACAAAGGGGCATAACAACCAAGGTGAAATAGATAGCTTGAGGAACTTGGACTGGTGGAAGCCAGCACAGGGGAAGACCAAACGATGTAAGTTTCTATACACTATTTAGGAACTGTGACCAGCTTTATCTATAAATCAAACCTACTATACAAACCAAGGGTACTGTCAGTAGCAATATAGCACAGTCAAAATCATGTTGAAAATGTCCAATTTCGATAAACAAACTGCTCCTTGGAAAGTACTTTATTAAGCTTTGTTGATAACATAAGGGGAGGATTTTGCTTCAGTTAATTACTCAGTATTAAAAATTGAGTATGAGAGCAGGTGTTTAACTTAGAGGCTGAAGTGCGGCCAGGGTATTGGCATAGTGGTTGCAAAGACACTGCCTGCAATGCGAGCACCCCATATGTGCACTGGTTCTTGTCCAGGCTGCTCCACTTCCAATCCTCCCTGCTAATGGCAAGAGCAGAGCAGCAGGACAGTCCAAGTGTTTATTCGGCCCTACACTCACATGGGAGACACAAACGATGCTTATCTCTGCCTGGCATTGCCCTAATCTTTGCAGCCATTAGAGGGATGAACCAGCAGACAGAAAATCTAACTGTTCGAAATAAACAAATCTTTAAAAATTTTAAAGACTCTGGCATCAATACTAAAGGGCCTGGAGTCAGTACTCAGTTCAAGCTCCTCACAACAGCCTCCTGCTAATGCAGACCCAGAGGCAAGCAGTGAAGCCTCAAGTAACCGACTTCCTGCCATGCACAAGGAACAGACCTAAAGTGAGTTCCTAGCTTCAGCACTGTCCCATCAATCACTGTGGGCATTTAGGAAATGAGCCCACAGATGTAAGCTCTCCACTTCTCAAATAAATAACTATGTAAGGGTAGTAGTACACAATAAGCCTGCTACAGTGATGTATGCTATGAGCCATCTCCCAGGTCAGAGGGCAATAGGTATTTCCATAAATAACAACTCACTATCTCAACACCTGATATGTCCCAATTCCTTTTCTTAATGAGGCTCCTCTTCATAATAGTCAAGCCAGACAAGTTATGATCTATACAAGTATCTGAAATTCAACAGGTTCCTATCCTGTACTCGCTGTAAGCTACTTATGAAAAAATACAAAGAATACAAATCCAGTTAGATCAGCAAATACCCCTTGATGTTATGTTTAAAAACATGACATTATAATTCCTTCCGTCTGAAGCTAAAGCCTTCTAATCAATCTGAAGACTGTGTTGCATCTTCATGTTTTTAAGATTTAAAACAATCTTAAAATCTGTTACTCAAATTTCTACAAATATCATAATTTGTAAATCAGAGAGCATACAACATTAAACGGAATGTATGAAGCCCAGGTAACAATAAGCCTTAAAAATCTGTACCCACGTTAGACGCACACTATTTCTGCATGAATTTCATTAGTTGCCACTGTAGGTTCCTGTAGTGACACTCAATTTTCCCATTTAATTATTCTATGTATTTAAATCCTGCATAATATATTTTCCCATGCTGTGAGATAGAGGTGGGTGACTAGCTAGTGGCAAACAGCAGAGGCCTATTCAGCACTTCATAAACCACATTCACAGGTTAGATTATACCACTATATACATAATAAATGCGTCCACTCAGGATTCCTATAAATTGGTGGCATTTACTCACCTCCATTCCCATTATCTGAACAGAAATAGTAAGAATGATTGCTATCAAAGATCTTTCACATAATTTCCAGGAATCAGATTTTTATACTTTTCTTTAAGTTGAATGATTAATTGCACCTACTCCAATAAAGCCTCCTTTGATAACCTCATTTGAACTTTAGGTAACATTTTCAAGATTAATGTACTGACATTACATAATCAGTCAGAACTAAAAACAAACCAAAATGGACAACATATGGGTACCAATAACAATCTTGACAATAAATGCTATTACATGTTAAATGCTGTTATAATTTTGTCCCCTTTGCCTAAAATTTCACACAAATAGCATCATTTACCTGAAGCTGCTCCACAGTTTCTTTGTGAGCTTTTTCCATGCTGTTCATCTTTGTTCTCAAGTTTGATTCTTGATATTGAAAATCTGCCTTTAGTTCTGTTAACTGAGATAAAAGAAAAAAAGGCCTAGGTGCCTGTATCCACATGCATGTAAACTGCACGTACAGACAAACGTACCGCTTAATCTTTACAATAAACCAACATGCCTTTATAAAAGTAGAATATTTAATAGTTTCTTGGGCTTTATGATTTATTTAATTTGTTCTGTGGAATGTCCTCTATGTATAATTAATTTTTACTATAGTATAGTCTCAATATTGAGGCAATTAAGTAATCATTAGTAAAAGTAATAAGCTGCTTTTTTGTTTTTAAGCAATTTCATTGGAAACAGTGTACGGCAACTGGTCCACCAACATGAAACCTTAATGGGTAATACTTCGGAGAAGGTCTCAATTAAAACGTATTTCACATTACTATAAACAAAATAAAGAAAGTGTTATCTTTTTGAAGCAACATTGCAGAGATAAAATGAATGTTTAATATGAAGGATGCATATAAAGGAAGAGTATGAAGCCTCCAGGATCAAAAGTTGCACTGCTCTTGTTTTTAAAACATTTCTAGATTATGTACTCAAAAGTACCTAATGCAAGGTAAAACACAGAAATACCCAAGTACATAAATCACTGAAATCCAAGTGACTAGATTGAAGGAGGAAGACAGATTACAAAGAATTTGTGCGACATCAAGCAGAGAAGGAAAACAGAGTTTTTAGGATGATAACTACATGTTTCTCCTAGATATGATAAAGTATATTTCAAGACTGCAAACTAAGACACTTAATCTAATCATACTATCAGAACCACGTAAAAGCAGTTTCAGTTATTTTTGCCATTTCTTTCCATTTCATAAGCTCTACAAGTCTATATTTTTTCTTTTGTAACTGCCCAGCAGTTGGGAAACTCAAAGACATAGGATAGTAAACAGGAAGGAATTAGTGGTATCTTACACTCTTGTTTTAAAAATGAAAACAAAACAAAAGGCCTTCCCCTTGTCATATTCAAAGTATAATGACATTTTCTCTCAACTTTATTATGAAAGTAGCCCTATTCTGCAATGCCAGTTCATAAGAGAACAACTGAAATAATTACTCTATTCACTACACTGAGCTCTCTGCAAGTCAGGAACTTCAAAAGATAAATGTTATCTATTCCTTTTTGTATTCCTGTGAATCAGTTTATGATTCTAGCCATCACTAAATAACTACATAATAAAATCAGGAAAAGAATTTGGTTGCCCTAAATTTATAAGGATTATAAATTGTATATAAATCTATAAATTTATAAAGTTGCAAATGTGAAGCTACTTGAGGTTTACAGCTATCATTTCTTACAATGCTATTTTCAATATCAATGTGTATAAAAAATTCTAGCAATAAAACCTCCAATTTTCAAGCAACAGTCAAAATGTAGATCTTTCAGTGAACCATATTCTTACCTTTTTGTCTTTCTCTAAAATTGTCTGGTCTCTTTGCTGTAAGAGACGCTTAAGCGACATCACTTCTTCTTTCAGTTGACTTATGAGGACAAAATTGTCTGTTCCCCCACTATCTGCTGACTGATTTATAGAGCTACTAAAAAGAAAAAAGTAAAGCACAGTTAAATGAAGTAGAAAAGAAATCAGCAGGTGTTCAAATTGCATAAATTAGACAATTCCACAAACATCCTTAAGGCTAATGCAAAAAAATATGTACCTGACAGAAATGGATGCAACTGGCAAATTACCTTACTAATGGCACACATTACATACACCTGCAGAAATATAATTCAGTATTAGCTTTTAGGGGGTCAATACTTCTAGTGTAAAGCAATAGGCAGCCAATTTGTACAGTAACATCAGTAAACTTTTGGCTAATGAACTAAAACAAAGTCAAGCTCATAATATTTTAAGTCTAAAAACATTTTCTAAGCAGGTCAATTTAAAAATATCACAATTAGATTTGTGTTTCTTTGAAAAAGAATAATGAAGATAAAGAGAATATTCTCTAGTATTTTTTTTTCACAGCCCAAATTTATTCCCAATAGAGCATAGTTCAGTGCCACTTTCTTATTGCCAAAATTAATTTTTAAATGATTATGCTTATTCTTCTCAGTGACTCAAATAAGCCAAATAGAAAATACATGTTTGTTCTTAACTGACAATCTACTGTAACTGTTCAATTCAGCTGAATTTTTTAACAAAAAAAGAATTAATTTTTACCTATCTCCATTAGATGGCTTGGTTTCCAATTTGGGCTTTTTCTTTGGAGTTTCATTCTGGATTGCTGCAGAGGATTTATGGCTGAAACCAAGCAATAATAATAATTAAAGTAAAAGCAGCAGAAGTACTAGAGAAGTTATTCTTTCTCCTCAAAAACATTAGTGAACACTAATGACTTTTCATAGAGATGTAACAAAGTTTAAAAGGCTATCACATATGAAAGCATAAATTTCAAATAATTCAGAAAACTTATTTATGCATTTACCTCTGTTTCCATAGTCCCTGCTCTTGTTCTGGACTTAAACTGCTGATTCTGAAAAATACATAAATGACATCTGGTAACATTTATTTAACACACCCACATTTAACAGCAGTTTTTTCTCAATGGAATCACCCCATTGCAATTCTGCAGTTAATTATAAGGCACATACATGATGTTGGTCCTCTAAAAAACCATCATCTAATGATGTAATAGTCAACTTGGGTAAGATCATTCAATAATACTTACACGTACAAAACAGTATAATGAATTTATTAGAAAATACATGATGAAGTTGATCATCAAGCTCATGTGACTATGACCTCACATGGTGCTGTCAGTGTCCTGGCTGCTACCACTTCTGATCAGTTAGTTATCAGCACAAATTCTAAGAAAAGCACGGGAAGATGACCCAACAGCTTGGTCCCTTGTCACCCACAGGGAGACACAGATACAGTTTCTGGATCTTGGTTTCTCTCAGCCCAGGACTGGCCATTGTGGCCATCTGGGGACAATCAGTGGTTGAAACACCAACCTCTTTCTTCACCTAAGTAAGTCAATTTAAAAAGATTTACTACTGCTTAATTTTTCAAGTTATTTATTTATGTATTTATGTATTTATTTTGAGAGACAAATTTTACAAAGAGAAGCATAGACAGCTCTTACATCGATTCGTTCAATCCTCAAATGGCCACAACGGCCAGAGCAGAGCCGATCCAAAGCCAGGAGCCAGAAGCTTCTTCCAGGTCTCTCACGTGGCTGCAGGGCCCAAGGCATTCTCTACTGCTCTCCCAGGCCAGAAGTTTAACAAACAGACTATCTTCCTTAGGATCAGCTATAAATAACAAGTTGGGGAAGTAGCAGCTCTAATTGTATCAAGTATAATCATTCCATATCAACTGGTGAATGACTGCCATCTCTATTAATCAGTCACATGAACTGATAGCACTAGCCATTGTTCTGAACCTAAGAATACGAACAGAAGGAATACAGGAATAGAGAGATCCATTCCTGGATCAAGAATAAACCGAGTGCCACTCCCTGCCACCCCTCTCAGGGTTAACCACATAGATCAAAAACACATTTCACAAAGTTCTTCTAATCCATTCAATTCTAAACAGGACCATACAAACTGGTTGCCTGTTACCAAATGGTTTACACTCACTGAAAACAAGGATTTCCTAAGTGACAGAAAGGAAAATATCTTTTGAAATCAATACTGTCTTCTTTCACTTTACTTCTGAAACCTCTTCTACTTAGAAAAGATGAGGTTACTATCATCTTATTTGATCCACATCAACTTACTCAATTGTGTGCTTTCAACATGTTAGGACAAATATATAAAAATGTCAAGGAAAAAGAATCATTCCCAGACTGTCTAAGTAGTGCTGGCATAAACCATGATACCACATAGTTACGTTCTCATATTTTACAGCAACAAGTAAAAACAAACATGTATCCTTGGGATCTTGCCAAAAACAATATTTTTTAAAATAGTTTAAAAACAACAGCAAGAAGTTACTGTAGTCTACCAATGTCAAATGCAAAAAGCACTACAAAATGGTAGAAGCATTAGTGCCTCACTAAGTCTGATGAACTAATACATTAGGTGCTTGTGCACGACTTAGAATCACCATTTATTAGACAGAATTCATCAGAGTATTTCCCAAAGATCCCAGCATAATTTTCCAATACATGGCAGATACTGGTTTTCTGTACATTAGATCTTCAATAGCTACCTGAATCTTTAGAGAAATTTAGGTACAAACAACAATCCTAATCTTCATACAAATTTAGGATCGATGAATTTTGAAAATGGGTACGTGGTATGTCGCCAGTTTTTCATCTTCATTTATAAGTGTAGAACTTAAGTTACAATGTTCTTGGCTTTTCCATGAGGATTAATACCACATTTTCACAAACTCCTAAACATACTGAGTTAGGACATTAACACATTTAATATCACATTAAGATATTATTACCCCAACAAGGTCACTTTTAGAATCAAGTACTTGTCTTAGAATGGAGGTTTTATCTATGTGTATTTAAAATAGCAACAACAAAAAAGTACCAACTAGTTCAAAATGTCATTTCTCACAGAAGACAGTGCTACAACATGCTCTTTCAAAAGATCAACTATGTATTTCCAAGATTCTGGATTAAAATTTCTTTTACTAAATATACACCTAGGGAAATTCTCACAATTATTTACATACAAGAAAAAATTATGCCTTATAATTTAAATCATGAAAGAATTAAGTCGGGTGCACATGGATTCCCCTTTTTACAGTCAAAATTGTATTAACTCCCAAAATATCCTCTTTCTGACTACTAAGGGAAGCAGTGAAGCACACCCCGTTTGTGCAATTTTACATACTGCATACCGTGGGAACAGAGCCTTCCACACTCCAGAGACCGACCATGGGACAGCAAACTAGATGCACCCAGTCACAGCCACAGGAGGCACCCACATGGCAGGGAGGATTCAGAAGCATGATTTGCCCAGTACTTACTTGTGATGGCTACTGCTATGACGATGATGATGGTGGTGATGGTGGTGCTTTGAATGATGCTGGTCTTTCTCGGGAAGAGATGAAGATGAATTTGAATGTGAGGACCCCAGAGTCTTCCTTTGCTCTTTCGTCTTCTGTAAAACTCTCTTGTATGATAAGGTACAGAGCCAGCACAACAACTTCCCATCAACCTTTTAAGAAAACACTTCCATTAAATTAACTGTAAGCATAACCTACTGAAAAGGCTGTCATCATAAACTGCTCACTTTTGGCCACACTGCTACAAATGAAGCTTATGTGAGACAAGAATACACAGGTTTTACAAAATGCAAATAATTTACAAACTTTCTTAAACCTTTGGGAAAATGCATGTTTGATGGATTATAAAATTAATGAAGGCAGTATAAAAACTTCTATCAGTTTTGATGCATTTTTATTTGGAGACATTGATTTTTATTTCTTCAAAATCAGCATAAGTTGATAAACTTTCATGAAATCTACTCAACATCCTTTTTTTTTTTTTTAAATTGTAAAGGCAGATATACAGAAAGGAGGAGAAACACAGAGGAGGATCCTACCTCCAATGGTTCACTCCTCAAGTGAGCGCAATGACTGGAGCTGAGCCAATCTGAAGCCGGAGCCAAGAGCTCTTCCGGGTCACGGGTGCAGGGTCCCAAGGATTTGGGCCATCCTCAACTGCTGTCCTAGGCCACAAGCAGGGACTGGATGGGAAGCAGGGCTGCCAGGATTAAAACCGGTGCCCATATGGGATTCCAGCAGTGCAAGGCGAGGACTTTAATCACTATGCTATCACGCTGGGCCCTACTCGACATTCTTAAATCACTTTGTAAAATAAGGCATTTCCTCCTAAAGTAAATACTAAGAATTTACAAAAATAAGAAAGACTATATGAGTCATATAGTGCATCGTCATTATCCTTGGTTTTGCATTTGCAAATAAGCCTGTCTGATTAATAATTTTTATCAAGTCAACGTCTGTCACAATTTTATGATCATTCAAGCCAATGCAGAGTGTCAAAAAGGATTGACAAATCTGTCAACAGATAACACATGTTCCCAAACAAGCTGGAATAACGTGACTAGGGACAGGTGTTTCAATTCTCATATGTAAAAAGTACCATTTAATTCCACAGTTTTAAGTAAGAACTTTGATGTTCACAAATAGTAATGCTTAAGCGCTGTATTGCATTCCGAAGCTTCACAACGCTTTAATCTGCCTTCTGGAGAAACAACATGTGCAGTTCAGACATCACTGTGCTGATGGCAAAGGTGCAATTAAAGCAAACCCAAATTTATACATACGTATGTGTCTATATACATATATATAAACATAAAAATCAGCTGACCAATACACATTGAGCAGGAACAGAAATCTAATACTGCATTTCCTTTAGGAGCAATGGTTGAGTGTGGTAACTCTATAGACTACAACTACCACAAAAAATAAGCAACAGCTGCATGTGTGCTAAAGGGTAATAAAAAACTCCTTCCCAAATTTACTAGTAAGAAAGAGACTACCTTGTGTTTGTATTTATAGGATAAATGATAGAGGGACACGCTTTACAAGTAGAACATACGTACGGGTGTGCAAGAATCTGCAGGAACCTCCCAGAGAACCATCTACCAAAATCAACTGAAACTGACAAGAGTGGGAATGCCAATCAGCAGGTTGTCACACTCTTACGTCATTGTAGGCAGAGAAAAACAATAATTTCAAAATAAAAGCTCCAGTTGGCACTGTAGCCTAGCAGCTACAATCCTCACCTTGAACGCTCTGGGATCCCATATGGGTGCCGGTTCTAGTCCCGGCAGCTCCACTTCCCATCCAGCTCCCTGCCTGTGGCCTGGGAAAGCAGTTGAAGATGGCCCAAAGCCTTGGGACCCTGCACCTGTGTAGAAGACCTGGAAGAAGCTCCTGACTCCAGGCTTCAGATTGACTCTGCAGTGGCCACTATGGCCACCTAGGGAGTGAATCATCAGACTGAATACCTGCTCTCTGTCCTTCCTCCACTCTGTATATCTGACTTTACAATAAAAATAAATGAATCTGTAAAAAAATAACACAATAAAAGCTCCAACCATAAGGCACAAGACTTAACTGTATGTACTATGTCCCACACTAAAGATTTTTTTTCATATCAAGAACTTCAAATGATCACCAAAAGGGTAAAGTGGGTGAAATGTTTTGATAGCATTTACTGAGTCTCAAAACAAAACAAAAACAAACAAAAAAAAGGGACACGTACATAGAACACCACTACATCATTCTGTTGAAGTATAGTAATCCTAAATGATGAACATGTATCTACAAGACACTAGTAAGAATAAAACATGGCATTGAAACTGCCCACTTTCAAGGACAAAAAGGCAAGATCTCTAACTTGTTTGGTATTTTTTTTAACTTGCAGAGGATATAAAAGCATAAATAAAATATACCTTTCTTCTTCCTTCCTCCTTCCGATCAAAAGCACACTGCTGTTTGCACTGTTCACAAGTCTGAGGTGGTCCATACTTTTTTTCTGAATTTGTGCAACGCTGACACTTGGTACCAATAAATGCCGCAATTATGTTACAGTACTGACAAGGTTTGGGCTGAAAAGAGACACACATTTTAACTGTGATGCTTAAAAATATTAAGAATCTGCTGCATAAAGCATATCCTGTATTGCAGCAGCTTATATTTTTCTAAGATCAAGAAAATCAGCCAGTAAAAACTTGTTTACCGTCAAGATTGTCATTATTATATTCAATAATATTTATCACTGCTCAATTATTTATTTCTCAAGCAAGAAAAGTCTTTGTTATTTTGTTGGAATATTTACTTCAGAGTCACAAAGTATGTTATGTAACACAAAACATCCACCAAAAGTTTCAAAAAGTGAAAATAAAGGTACTCATACACAGAAAGCTCTCATGTATCCCGAATTTGGGAAAATAAGCTTCTACTAATTTAGAATCCTGATAAACTTGATGACCTTATTACTGATTCAAAAAAAAGTTAACATTTCATCATACCACAAATCAGATGACATAGGAAAGATACAAGTAGTTTAAGTAGTTTTCAGCTTAAAAAAAAAAAAAAAGGTGTAAGACATTAAATACTAAGTCTAAGAACCATACAAGAATTTACTTTGACATCCACAGATAATTCAGCATCTAGATCAATTACAGTATTAGGATAACATTCCAATAATGACTGTAATATTCAAAAGACCATATTTTCCTTTTTCCACAAACTTCCTGCAATAAAAATGTGTCAGCTGACCCTTGCTAGCGTAGCAGCATGCGCACTGCCAATGAAGGCTGCAGTATGTAACCAATTCTGAGGAGGGAAAGTCTGATGATGCAAACCTGAACAAGGTGGTTCTCCCTCTCTAGGGCGCTGCTTCTTTCAATCTCTAAACAATGGCTTTTAAAGAGTAACCTTGTGGTTTTTCACACTAAATTCAAAAATAAAACATTGATATGATTCAAATGTTTTTAGGTGTGAACTTCTCAGACTGCCTACAGAAAACTTCATGAAATATTTTGACCTATTAAAACACGTACAAACATACCACATTTTAAACAGTCAGCCTTTAAGATAAAACTGACCAGTAACAACAAGCAATGAAAATATAAGACACACTCACCGTCCCAAATTGCTTCACATTTTGAGCACACTTCTTACAAATTGTGTTCGTTTTGCTGAAAAAGAAATTACAGATGGAAGATCAATCTTTTGTATGTCTCTGAGGTAATGAGCACAATAATTACCTAGGAGTCCTAGGTCTACCGTGCTAAGAACTGATGGTAAACCATACTTTTCCTAGTTCTTTTTCATTAACTTAGAACAATCTCCTTATTCGTTGGTGTGTGGATTTCAAAAGAAAATCCTGGTGCTCCCTCTCCAGTGCAGGTCACTCGGCATCAGCATCCACCTCTGCAATCTCTTTCTTGGCTGTTCTCCATTAGGAAGAAACTACTTGTCCATCTCCCAGGTTACTTACTTCTAAGTGTCCTCACCCCACAATCGGCTGCGCAAACGCAGGTGCCGACAGTGACCAGACGTTACCAGACTCACTGCTAAAAGAAGGCAGCTGGTAACACCACAGACCTTTCCTCAGACCCACTCACATTTTATCCCCTATAGCTTCATAAGTAACCCTTCATCCTTCCATTTTTCTTAGTGTGGCTGTACATTTCCTATGGGAGAACATTACCCTTTACTTTCTTCTGTGAAGTCCATGCAATAAAAGATAACCCACTGTTAGAATTCTCAACAACGTCTCTGAGAATATCTAAAATTTACAACAGGAAGTTTCAGAGACTAAAACACTTTTTAAAATAATACATATAACCGGTTTAAAACCCTTAAGGACGCCTTACAGAGAACACTTCTGTTTTTGGCAGACCAAAACAAGCACAGTATACGAACCTCTCTTGTTGGAATTCTGATCTGCAGTAAGTGCATTTTACAATAGGATGTGCAATCCGACATTCCTGCAACAAGACATCAGTCAGTATCTACCTCCAAGTCCCAAATCTCACTTTTTGGTAGCAAATTATCACTAAACCGAGTCAGACTCCTAAAACGACAATGAACCGGGCCCCCAGTGTAAAGCCAGCAGAGTGCTGCCCTGTAAGCGGCCGATCCTGATCAAATTCCTTAGGGAAGGCAGGGGTGTCTTTGTCTATCACTCGTGGGGCCACACTACACATAAATTAACAAAGCTGACAGAGCTCTTTTCAAGCAATGGTTATAAGGGGAACTACTTATTTGCACTGATGCTCACAGACAGCATTCCAGCTCGAACGCGATGGGAGGAATTGCAAAGCATAGAGCATTCTGTTCCCAAACCAGCTAGCCTTTCCCAGAGAGAGGAGGAGGAGGATGCCAGCAGCTTTGCGGCTTCGGGTTCCTAGCAACAAAGTGCGGACACTGTCCCCTGCCTCCTGATGTAAGGACGACACTGGCCACCTGAAGGAAAGCCTCTCCAGCCGGGGGTCTCTGCGGCAGAGACAGGTGGCTGCTTCACTCAGACCCACCCGAGACCGCCCGGACGCCGACAGGACGGGCCCCTCCTGGTCTGCCGGGAAAACCGTCTCCTTTCTCGGGGCTCTGCCAGGCTGCATGTCAAGGCCAGGAAGGAAAAGGGAGCCCGGGTCCCAGCGACACCAGGACTCCAAACCATCCCCCGGACAGACGCTCGGTGCTCGTGAGAACACAGCTGCAGCGCTGCGGCCACCCAGCACCCTCGGCCCAAGCACTGGAAACCCCGGCGGCCCGCCACCCACGGACCTTGCAGAGCTGCTGGCCCTGGGAGAGCTCCTCGAAGGGATAGCGCTGGGTACACTTGGTGCAGGCGTACAGGGCCGAGGCCGCCATCCTGCCCCCTCAGTCTCCTCCTCCTCCGCCGCCGCCGCCCGCTCCGAGGCGGGGCCCTCCGGGGAACTCGGCCTCCGCCGCTGCGGCCCCTGCTTCCCGAGCTCCCCGCGGACGCCGCCGTCTCCCTCCGCCTCCACGTCCGTCCCAGCCCGCCCGGCAGCGCCGTCCCAGCCCCGGCCGCTTCAGGTGCTCACAGCGGCGGAGGGAGACGGAGCCCAGAGTTCGGGGCGGTTTCGCAGCACCGTCGCGGATCCGCTTCCTCCTCGGACTCCCTTCCCCAGCCCCGATTGGCTGCGGTGGCTGCCACGTCACCCGCTCGCTCCGCCCCACGCCTCAGCCCAGCTACGCAGGGCGCTCCCACAAAGGGCGGAAGTGACCGGCCAATGAGGGCCCGGCGCTCGCAGCGCGCGAAAGCCGCTCCACGTCGGCCCCGCCCAGCGGCGCGGCTCGGGGTGCGAGCGCCCGGGTCCAGCCGGGCGAGGGGTCGCCCAGGTGTCACCCCGGCTGCTGCGTTGTTTTTTTTTTTTTTCCTCGACTTCTATTGGGGCCGAGCATTAGGCCCCGCCTCAGCGTACTTCACCTGGAGAGGCGTCCCCCACTCAAACTCGGGTTGTCTCAGGCGCGTTTCAGTACCGCGTTCGCCCGTGTTCTATGTCAGGCCTGCCATTCCGTTGCCACGGGCGACCACACAATGCCTTCCCCTCCCGCCCCTCCGTGGAACGCCCCAAAGCCGCCCGCCCGCCAAGGGGCTCTCTGCTTGTGACGTCAGCAGGCGGGCGGGCTCGCTCCTCTCTGATTGGCTGTTGAAGACGTCCGTTAGGACGTGCGGCCCTTTCCGCGTGCGCCGTGAGAGTGGGCGTCGCTGCGGGGGTTTGTGGTAGGGGCTTCTAGGCCGGGCACCAGCCGCGCCCTGCCCCTTCCATCCGGGGTTCGGGGTACGGTCGCCCCTGGTGGGCGGCTCCCGAATCTTGAAGAAGAGCTCGAGAACTCGGACCGCCCGAGAGCTGCAGAGCCGCTCTGGGCAGGCGGGAAGATGGCGGCGGCTTCTGTGTCTGCGACTTCTGATTCTCAGTTCTCGGTATGGAGCGACTGGTTGCACGAACGGGATTTCGGTCCATTTTGGCGCTTCTGGGAGTTTTGCCCAGGTTTCCGGACCCGCTAGTGCTGCTGACCCGGTCCGGGAGGACGGCGTGGTGTGCACCTGGCCCTGCCCCTGCCACCCAGAGGCTACATGCGCGCTCTGGCTCCCCGAGACGCGGGCTCGGCTCCCCGCTTGCCCCGCGTCCTTCATCTGGCTCTCCAGACAGTGCCAGGCCCGGGCTGGGCTGACCGTGCCCACTCCGAGGCCTGCGGACACGCTGCCCCTGCGGTCACGTGAGCGTAACGGCTCCTTTGAAATCGCACCCGGCGGGTCGGGGAGCGCTCTGCGGCATCCGCGGTCCTCCCAGGCGCGGCTTGGGCCGTTGGCTTGGCCTGTTAGCGCCTGCCTGGAGCTGTCCTCAAAGCCTGGGCTCTGCCCCGTCCCGCGGTGTTTCTAAGGCTGCAGGCGCGGACAGCTGGTCATACTGCTTTTTGCCTGTCCCAGGGTCACCTGCCGGTTTAGCTTGTTGGTGTATGTCACGAGCTTTGTGTTAGGAACTGCCTCGGTGGGAAAAGATGAGAAGCAACAAAACAATCTGTACTCCGTACTTGTAGAAACGCTTAGGGCCTGGCATAGGCAGGCTCAAGAATCGCACAGGTGAATAGAGTGGAAACTGCGAATTAGATGGTTACTACACGGCGTGGTAATAGGGTAAGCTACCATACCAGAGCAGTTTAGCCGGGAGTGGTTAGTTGTGCTTGGAAAGGATAGAGACGGTTCCTTGGAAGGAACCTTCCAGCTGCGCGTTGAAAGAATTCTGTATACTTGGCGCAAAATAAGAAGGAAAAAGCATCTCAGGCATTTGTGCCTTAGACAGTGGATACTTTCGGAAATTTTCAGTAATTGAGAATGTACAGAGGTACGAGTACTAGGACTAGAGTAGGAGTGCTAGTGAGGAAGAAGCCTGGAGAATGTCAAGGAAATTTCAGATAAGCTAAAAAGGAAAGACGTGTGGAGAAGACGAAGGTGAGAGTTGCCTTGTATAAACTGCACTTTTCGGTTTCCCATTCCCGTTCGGGTTTGAGAAAGGCCAGAAGGATTCCTGCGTTTCAGGGGAGCCGGCTAACTAGTGTGCGCAGAAGCGTGGGGGAGGTTCAGAAGTCACGCCTAGGGGATTCCTTCAGGAGTTAGAGCGGTGAGAGGTGAGGTGAGACGAAGAGAAATTAGTGAAAGATGCTGTTGAACTTGGGAGAGAGGGCTATTCTCAGAGAGTAATGCCAGGACACCGGTTGAACTGCACTTTGCTGAGGCCGCCTGGCCAAGCAGTGGAACTGGGAACCAACCTTAGTCCACACAGCATTGTGCCCTGAAATTATAGTGTTCAGTGAGAAAGTGTTTATGTAAGCTCAGATTTAAGTAGATGCTAAATCAGGAGTCCCTACTCACTTAACTAACTTAACCAATTTGAAGTTATAATTTGGAAGTTGGTTTTCAAACAAAAGTGGCTAAAAGTAGTTCTTTAATGCATAAGAGATGACGGTTTCCGTGTCCCATCAGAAGCAAGCCTCTCATTTCCATGAGAAGTTAGAAAGCAGTTTAGGTTAATAAACAGTCACCTGAGGATACCTAACTCCAAAGCCAGCTCAGGTGGCTACTCATGTAGATTTGAGGCTCCTGTGTTCAGCATTGATTAGCCTAATGGGCAGCTAGTCGCAAATGGGAACACTTACCAGGCAAGGAGTTTTCACACCTGAATTCAGTCTTTAGGAAATAGTTATCTTAGTAGATTTCACGTGGTCCTTGTAAGTGTTTAAGTGAAATAGTTGTAAGCACAGGAAGAATAGCATGTAACAATTATTCAGTGTTTCAGCAACTTGGAGAGAACAGGAAGACTTAACTAGTCTTTCAACCAGGCCTTTTAGCCAAGCTGATCAGTGGCACCATATGAATTTTTTTTTATTTTTTAAAGATTTATTTTTATTATTTTTTCATTGGAAAGGCAGATATACAGAGAGGAGAGACAGAGAGGAAGATCTTCCGTCCGATGATTCACTCCCCAAGTGAGCACAAAGGCCGATGCTATGCCAGTCCGAAGCCAGGAGCCTCTTCCGGGTCTCCCACGCGGGTGCAGAGTCCCAAAGCTTTGGGCTGTCCTTGACTGCTTTCCTGGGCCACAGGCAGGGAGCTGGAAGGGAAGTGGAGCTGCCGGGATTAGAACCAGCGCCCATATGGGATCCCGGGCGTGCAAGGCAAGGACCTTAACCACTGCGCCACCGCACCAGGCCCTGGCACCATATGAATTTACCCCAGAACTTATCGTGAAATAGTTCATTTTTAATATATATAAACTGCAAGATTTATTTCCAAGTTGTGTTTCCATATGTTTGGAAGGCATGCCAGATGGAGGTCCATCCACTATCTTGGTTGCATGAGTTGCTTCCCAGGTGGAATTTTTGCAGGAAACTGAGCAGAAGAGGTTGAGAGGGCAGCTGGAATGCAGAGCAGGTGCTGCAGCATGGGGCATAGCTGGGGTATAGCATCTGAAGCAGCAGTGTAGGCCGCTGCTATGTGGATAACATCCCTACAAGGTCTTGTAGCATCATCTTCCTGCTGTCCCTCCTCCCTCCTTACCCTCAGTTTTAAGACTGATACATAGTATTATCTAATGCACATTGTTTCATGTGGTAACTCATTTAATCCTCAAAAATTTAATTTAAATGTTTCCATTTTCAGGAGAATATCATGAGATACAGAGAAAGTTAAGTTTCCATAGTTAGTGGATGAAAGTGCCTCCTTTATACTTTTGTGTAATGTCTTCATAGACTTGAGAGTTAAGACTTCGATAGAGCTCGATTTTTGCAAGATATAATCTATTGGGGTCATTCTTTTAATCTCCATGTATGTAGTTTCTCTGTAAGAGCAGTTATGCCCCACATAGCAAAAGACTCCCTGAAAGTGTTGAAGGATCCCTGTAAGGGGTAATGGGACTGGGGTGTCTGAGTCCTTGTTGTAAAGGAAGTCTATGGCAGCCTTCCCTGCCTAACCACATGTTGCTGACCGTTTCCTGCACAACAATCAGCGTATCTCGAAGTGGTTGTAGAAGTAGATGGGAAAATCCAAGGATCCGTGACAAAGATTCTGAGCAGGCCAACCCTAGAGCAATGATGTTTCAGCTGCAGGCAGAGTTGGGGGTTACAGTAGTAACATGGAGTGGCTATCTCTAACTGGTCATGCTCACAACAGCAGAGTACGACGATGGTCCAGCAGGAGTATCTGTGAGCTACGCTGATACAGGTCTGTGCAGCTCAGCTGTTCATTCAGGTCCAAGTTCAAGGCAGAAGCACCCATGTATACATTTCAGAAGTGAGAACAGAGTTTATTATTTAACAGTAGGAATAAACATACAGTCACGCAGGGCTGCAAGAATTCCAGCTCACCTAAGCTTGCCTAGTACACGCTACATTTTTGTTAAACAGTGGGGTAGAATTTTTTCTCTGATTTGTTTTCCTAATCCTTGGTGAGGATTCACTTTTTGATATATTACCTTTAATAGTTTTTAATGTTTTTTCCCCCCTGAAATGTCAGTTGATGTCTCTTTCAGATGAGTTCTGTATATTTTAAGGATTTATTTGTTTTTATTGGAAAGTCAGATTTACAGAAAGTAGGAGAGGCAGAGAGGAAGATCTTCCGTTCTTGGGGAAGATTCACTCCCCAAGTGACCACAACTGCCAGAGCTGATCCAATCCGAAGTAGGAGCCAGGAGATCTTCTGGGTGTCCCACATGGGTGCAGGGTCCCAAGCTTTGGGCTGTCATCGACTGCTTCCCTAGACCACAAGTGGGAAGCTGGATAGGAATTGGGGCTGCCGGGATTAGAACCGGTTCCCATATGGGATCCAGGTGCGTTCAAGGCGAGGACTTTAGCTGCTGTACTACTGCACTGGGCCCAAATGAGATCTGTTTTATTGCTGATCTGCAAGCATTTATTTATGTTTTTGGGGGGCTATTTTGTTTTGTTTTAATCCTCAGTTACAATTTCCAAATTTGTCTTGACTATCTTTGATATCTTTTACCTGATGAAATTATTCATGCACTGCAGTAAAATTTGTTAATCTTGTAGTGATTAGTGATTTTTGTTTTAAGTTGTGTACTTAAAGCTGTCTTCTAAATCCTTAATTGTTGAAGACCTCCAGTGATTTGCATTACTAGCTCTATCTAGTAATTGCAGTGTGAGTTTGTGATGTTACCAGACCATCATTTTTATTATTTTTCTGTCTACTGAGATAGTTGATGGATCTCCTCTTTATTTGTCTTCCTTGTTTCTCAAGAGAAATGTTGCCTATTCATCTGTTGCTTTTATTTGAATTCTGGAATCCTCTACTGGCATGTTAGTTTGTTTTTTATTGAATTTCCAGTTAGTTGAGAATAACGGAGTTTTTCGGGTTTTTGCTTTTTGGTTTTTTTTGTCTCATGAAGATGGAAATGGAATGCATCTTGCATGTGGCAAGCCAGCGGAGTGTCAGTATGGGTAATGGTATAGTGTGGAGAGTGGTTGGCAGTAAGACCAAGGTTAGCCTTGAAGTGATAGATGTACTGGTTCACTCCTATAATGGCTGCAGTAACTGGGGCTGTGCCAAACCAAAGCCAGGAGTCTGCAACTCCATCCAGGTCTCCTAAGTGGGTGACAAGGTCCCATGTCACTGGGGTGTTTTCTGCTGCTTTCCCAGGTGCATTAGCAGGGAGCTAGATGGAAAGTGGAGGAGCCAGGACTCAAACTGGTGCCCATTTGCAGTGCAGTCAGTCAGTGCTTCACTGCTGTACCATCACACCAGTCCCTAGGAGATTCTGATTGGTGACACTGGTTGTAACGGGCCATTGTCATTGAACATTTGGGAGAATAGACCAAGGGAATGTGAGCAAGTTAGAACTCAGATGGAAATCCAGACAAAAAAGATGAAATTTCAACCAAAGTAGTAATGGATTTGGTCATAATTTGCAAAGTCTCTGGATTTAGTATAGATAGCCAGAAAATTTAACTGCAGCAATTTCATTGTCTGAGTATGAGAAATGACTCCAGCTCCAGTTTAATTATAGCGTGATAATGTTGAGGGGCCCATTAGCTAAATGCATAGTAAGAGTGAGAAAATATGTATAAAATCAGAGTTTGAGAAAGCAAGCTCTGGGCTACATATTTAAGCATAAAAAGGTATCAGCAAATAAAAGCATTTCGAAAAGCTTCAGAGCTAAATCCTAAGAAACTAGCAATTTAGAAAGGTAGTGAGAACAAGCCAAGGAAGCTGTAAGGCAGAGGCCTAGGAAAGAGAGAACCGGGGAGTTTGGTGTTCTATGCATGGAAGAAAGTGTTAAAATGAGCCCATTAGTGTGTTGCACTCTTTTGGACTGTCATTGAACTCAAGATGGAAATCACTGGGCTGGTATTTTGTCACAATCAACATCCTATATCTGGATGCTGCTTCAAGTCACAGATGCTCTGCTTCTATTCCAACTCTTTGTTAAAGTTCCTGGGGAACTTGAAACACTTTCATTCACGTGCCTGACCTGGGTAGAACTCCAAAATCTATTTTTAAAATTGTTGGTAAATCTGAAGAGTGGTGTTTTTTTTTTTTTTTTTTGGCATGGATGGAGGAAATTTGATTAAGAGGGAGAATAAAACATGAAAGATCAGCATAGATACATTGGTGGGTTCTCTTCTTGTCAGACTGCCCATGCTGTCAGCCAACCAAACACTAAAGCCTCTGATTCTGTGGAGAGAAAGTTTGGTGTGAGGCAGCCAAACGTTAGTCAGGAGCAGTGCTCAACCCTGACCTCATGAAATAACCTCTTAGAAAACATTTACTAGAAAAGGGACAAGGTGGAGAGATCAGATATGGGAATTAAGGAAAGGGGAATTCTAGGTTTCCTGCACGGTTGCAGTCGGTGATAGCCTTAGCACTGGAACACAGTCCTCTTCCAGGTGCCTCCAAAACAGAATTCCAGCTTCCCATTGCATTGGAAAGGTGACAGATGTGATACCTTGCTGCATGTGAATACACTCATCACAGTAGGCTTGGTGTTTGTGTACCATTTTTGAGACTTGTCCTGTTGACAGAAATAAACTGAAAAGGGTGATTCAGGGCAGCATGTGAGTGTGGCAGAAACAAACAGCTCGTGGGGAAATGTTCTAGAGTGCTTGAATTCTAGTCATAATTTGTTTCATGCAAGAGACATACACCAACCTAGGAAAGGTGGGCTTTAGTTAAGCATATCTGCATGGCAGATAGCATTCACTGATTGAGAATTACTCTCATGAGAATGTGATTGGATACAAAACTTACCTAGACATGCAAATTGCAGTCTAGGAAAAGACTAGTGGTTACAGAGGATATTTTGGGGAGGATTAGGCATGTATAAGTTAAAAAGGTGCAGGGGCGGCAGGTACTTAGGGTTGCTGCAATTGACTAACACAAAGTAGATGCCAAGAATTCTTTTTTTAAGATTTTTTTTTTTTAACTTGGAAGGCAGATTTTACAGAGAGATCTTCAGCCACTGTTCACTCCCCAAATAACTGTAGCAGCTAAAGCTAGGAGGTTTTTCTGGGTCTTCTGTGTGAGTACAGGAGCCCAAGGACTTTAGCAGTCCTCTACCAGTTTCCAAGGCCATAGGCAGGAAGCTGGATCAGAAGTGAAGCAGCCAGGACATGAACCAACACCCTCAAGAGTAATAACAATAATAATTCTGGGGGTCCAGTGCAGTGGCTCAATTGGTTAATCCCCCTTCAAGTGCCAGGATCCTTTATGGGCACTAGTTCATGTCCTGGCTGCTCCATTATCATCCAGCTCCCTATATGTGGCCTTGGAAACCAGCTGAGGATGATTCAAAGCCTTAGGACCCTGCACCTAGTGTGAGGCACCCAGTAGAAGCTTCTGACTTTGGATTGGCTTAGCTCCAGCCCTTGGCAGCCACTTGGAAAGTGAAGCAGTAGATGGAAGATCTTGCTCTTTTTCTCTCTGTAAATTGCCTTTCCAATAAAAACAAATTTTTAAAAATAGCTCCCTTGCGCTACTCCTCAACCAAGTTCCAAGAGCTATTTTACTTGAATTACTTGTAGGCTTTTGGATTACAGATTGTTCTGTGTGCTTCGCAAGCTCTTTGCCAATCTTTTTCATTTTTACAACTAGAGTACGTGTGTTATACTTCTGTGACTCCACTGGAAATCTGCATGGCTTTGTGGACTACTGAAAGAATCAATCTTGTTGGAAAAACAAAGTAAAAGATTATTAGGTTAGTCATTTAAGCCCAGAAATAACCAGTTTCTTGACTTGGTTTAATTACATCTTAAAAAAAGATTTTTACAGAGTTAGCTGTATGCCCTGAATTTAATTTGAACAATACATACTTATTTGTGGTTATTATGCACATTAAAATTCAAAGAATACCTGGTAGTAGCAAATCTCATTATTGATTAAAGCAGTATATATTCCTGTGCAGGGAGAGGCAAGCAGTGGGGTCATTGATCATTCTTATAAAAGCCCTGCATTTTAAGGAATGGTAAATGTTTCCTTGCTAATTGGTAAAAGTTTGTGGGACAGGCCTGTGTCTGGGGAATTTACTGAAGGTAATCTTCCAGGGCTAACAGTATCCTGGCTGACTTGGGTTTCTGACATTACCATTCCACTGTTAGATCCACAATTTTTAACTTGGAAACAGAATCTCCAATTTTAGAAAGAGTTGAATACAAGTGCAGAGTAGCTCTTCTGATAACCTTTCTTTACTCGAGAATGGCTTGATTTGGTGATAGTACATAGTTTTGTAGCAGTATCTGATATTGTAAAACAGTAGGGAGAATGTTTTTCTGCAAAAGACCATTTGGCTATTTAATTGTATATTTTTATTGAAAAAGCATATTTACAGAGGGAAGGAAAGACAGAAAAGACAGATCTTCCATCTGCTCGCTCTCACCCCAAATGCTCATGATGGCCAGAGCTGAATCCATCTGAAGCCAGGAGCCTCTTCCAGGTCTCCCTCATGGGTGCAGGGTCCCAATGAGCTGTCCTCTACTGCTTTCCCAGGCCACATCCCAGGAGCTGGATGGGAAGTGGAGCAGCCAAGACATGAACTAATGCCCATATGAGATCCCAGTACTTGCAAGGCAAAGATTTAGCCACTAAGCCATTGTGTCTGGCCCTGGGCATTTATATTATACATGGACAATACAAAATTATCAACTTAAATATTAGCATTCTATGTATTCTCTTAGTTTTGTCTCACCTGCAGTTGCCTTGGCAGAGTCACATCCAAATGATTTTTGCATGCTGGCTAGATATTCTCCAACCCTGATGGAAAAATGCTGACAGAAATTGAGTGTATGTATTTAAGAATTTCTACGCAGCATAATAGCGATTAAATTCTTTCGTGTTTAATGTGTGTCATTTTTTGTTCTGTTGCCTGTCTCAGTGGAACATGGATAATACAGTTCTTAGTTATTAATTTTTTGCAGTTAAGATGTGCTATTTCATTTTAATTTTTGAAACATTGATTCCTGGGTTTTTCTTTTCCAGAACATCTTAACTGAACCATCAAGGTCTAGTGGAAGTATGGTTCGACGTTCTTCATCTGCATATGTAGTATATCCACCCGACAAGCCTTTCCTCAACAGTGACCTGCGACGCTCCCCAAATAAGCCTACATTTGCCTATCCAGAAAGCAACAGCAGAGGTAAGAGCCTGCTTTTACTCACCATTTTAAGATTGGTGATTTTATCTTCGCTTTTCTTTTTTCAAGGAAATACATTCCCCTTCCACTATGATTTAAATCCCCAAAATACAGTGCTTCTCTGGTTGACTTTTTTTCTTTGTTTGTGGAACATCTTTATTCATCAACTCATTAAAGCTCTGTCATCTCCAACACCCATCAAATTGTGTTTCTACTGCAGAGGTTCAAAAAGCCTCTGGGTTCTGTTTCCTTCATTCTTACTGCTTTGCTTTGAGCCCTCATCGTTGCCTGTGTGTTCAGGAGTTCAACCTGGCTTACGTTAATAGTAATAAAGTCTTACATCTTTCATCATCACCTTCTGTGTCTTACAGACTTCATCTTGACACCCTGTCTTCTAGTCTTCTTTACCTACACGTGTTTTGGCTCGAACACCTTGAAATATATTTGTTTCTGGAACATTTCATCTATATTAGTTGCGAGGTGGGGCAGAGTTTTGTTTTTCTTACTATTGTTACGTTTACAGATCATCACACACCTAACAATTTTCAATGACAAATTTATTACCTCAGTTTTTCATAGGTTAGAAAGCTAGATCTGAGTCTTAAAAGGTTGATATCAGGTGTTGGCCATGACTGGGGCCCTACTGTGTCCTAGAGGCTGTTGGACAAGATCTGCTGCCAAGTTACTCAGATTTTTAGCTGAATTCTGTTTCTTACAGTTCAGGAGAGAAGTTCCATTGCCTTGCTGTCAGTTTTGGCCAGTCTTTGTTCCTAGAGACCATCTTTTTTTATTTTCCCTTTTGCCTTGTTATCCCTAACAATAACAGTAGGCAAATCTCCTTTATGCTGCAAATACCTCAGTATATTTCTCGAACCACATTCAAAGAAAATGTTTCTGTTCATATGACTAGATTGGATCCAGCCAGGCATTCTTTCTGTCACATAATATGAGGGCTTCAGAGGATCACCATGACCAAAATTCCAGCCATTAGAGAGTTCAGTACAGGTTCACTATAGAACACATTGTTTGTACAGTGGGTCCAGTAGGATTCATGACTCTAAGCCTACAAAATTTGTTTTCCCAAAGGCTACTAGAGGCCTACTGTACTAACTAATGTGCCGTTGAAGTATGTGCATTTCTTTTAGAATGGGTATTACCTGTGCCTGCCTCCAGTATCGACATACTGATATATGTATAGGTAGGTAGTTAGGTAAGTAGGTATTTTACTATATACTTTCCAAAAAAAATTACTATTTTTAATTTATTTGGAGGCAGACCAGCAGATAGGAGTTCTTTAAACTTTTGCAGCAACTTCATGAACAGGCTGAGCTAAAAACCAGGAACTCAATTCAGGTGTCTCATACTGGTGGCAGAAACTCAAACCACTTAAGTGATCAACTGTTGTTTCCCAAGATCTGGCAATATCAGGAAGCCAGAATCTGGAGTAAAATACGAATTGAAACCCAGGCACTTGGACAGCATCTTAAATGCTGAGCCAAATGATTTTTCCTCTCCCCTAAAATTATTATTAACCCAACTGATCACCAGAGAAAAAAAGGTTTATATTGGGAAGTTGCAAAGCTCCCAGTGCAGGTACATTTCTTCAGAACCCAGATAACCTGAATTGCCTTTGACAACAAGCACTGTCGTAATAGATTGACTTCCGTTGGTTCTGAGATGATGGCTACCAAGGACCTAAACCTGAATATCTGTGACTGTCAGAAAACATTCATCATTCAAACATCTGTATAAGTCCTTTTCATCCGGACCGTTGTTTGACACACACTTTGGCATCTGTATGTGTTCATTTTGTGACACAGTATTAGAAGATGTACTCATAACCTGCAGTGTGGTGTGGCAGGTAAAGTGCCTTCTGTGAAGCGTAGGTGCCATATGGGTACTGGTTTGTGTACAGCTACTCGACTGACAATCCACCTGCCTGCTAACGGCCTGAGAAAAGCAGCAAATGCTAGCCACTCAAGTATTTGAGCTCTTGCCATGCATGTGGGAGACCTCTGATGAAGCTCCTGTCCTTGGCCATTCCTGGCTATTTTGACCATCTGGGGAGTGAACCAACAGATGGAGACACTCTATCCCAGTGAGAAAAATGGAGAAATCGTTGAGTGACTCTGAAATGTTTGAAAAACTTTGTAGTTCCACCAGATATAAGCCATTCCATTAAACAGTGGATGAAGTTACACACCACTGGGTCTTTGTGTTAATCTAATATATCCAGTCCCAACGTCGTGGCATAACTTAAGGCTATGACCTGTGGTGTTGGTTTGATTCATGGATACTCCACTTACGATCCAGATCCCTGCTGTTGGCCTGGGAAAAACAGCAACAAGTGGCCCAAGTGGTTGGACTCCAGAGAAGTGTGTTATGATTATTGATACTCTGCTGTGCAGTAAACATTAGAATTGTTTAGTCCTTAAATATAACTTTTTATTTCATTTTTTTTCCTTGTCTTCTAAAGTCATACTAGTCTCAACTAACTACTATTCTACTTTCAACTTCTGAGATTAACTTAAGTCCAAATATTAATGAGATTGTGTTGTACTTGTGTTTCTGTGTTTGGCTTAGCTCAGTTAACACCATAGCCTCCAGCTCTATCCATGGTGTTGTACTTGACATGACCTTACCCTTTTTATGGCTGAATGATACTCCATTGTGTGTGTGTGCCACGATTTCTTTTTTACTTCATAAGTTGATAGACACTTTAATGGTTCCCATTTTTGTGGCTGTTGTAGGTAGTGCAACAATAAATGTGGGATTGCAGATGTCCCTTGGACACATTGATATAATATCCCTTGAATATATAAAAATATGGAATGCGTCATGAAGTTGTGTTATGCTTGCACATGGGCTGTGCTAACCATCTTGGGTAGTGTTCCAGTTTTATTATGCGTGCCGCCCAAGCAAGCACTATATCCTTCTTTATACCTCTGTTCTAGAGTCGATAGTAAAGGACATTTTTAAACTTTCTCTGGTTATAGTTCTTATTTGACTGTAGTATCTAGAGAATTGATCATTTAGGTTCTTATTATATCCAAACTCCTTTCTTGTATTTTCTGATTGGGACCTGTTGATTCTATTTAATGAAAGTCTTAGTAAATGAATAGATTGTGTTACTAAATGGAAAGGTGTGCCATGTGTTCAGTAAGTAGAATTGAACCTTAAAAGATGACTGCTGTTCCTACCTGTTGCTTATTTTACATAAAGTCTCATTTAAGTCAGTTCTTTGTTGAGTGATTCTCAATAATTACTGGTAAAAATCAATTTTTACTATTCTAACAATTTATATAATGGAAATTGGTAATGTTGATGTGTAAAGTTAAAATACTGACAATCAGTGAAACTGAAAGTTAGGTCTAATCCTTAAAACTAAATACAAAATGCGTTTTCATTATAAGTATTTTATAACTTACTTTGCAACACTTAAACTATAAACATAAAAATAATGCTTCTCAAATCTTAAGGTTAGGAAAAACTTCCAGAAGCATATAAACAGAGGGCATGGTCAGAAAAAATGAGGTGTAACTCTATAAAGAATCAACACATCCATCAACATCAATAACTAAAGGCAAATGATAAAGGAAGTTTCTTTTCCCATAGAAAAATAGGCAAGGAAAATTCATGAAAGAAAATGGAACAATGATGTAATATACAGAAGTACTTTTAAGTTTTAGTAGAACTGCAGGAGCCCGGCACGATGGCTCAGTGGCTGAGTCCTCACTTGACATGAGCCAGAATCCCATATTGGTGCTGTTTCATGTCCTGGCTGTTCCACTTTCCATCTAGCTCCCTACATATGCCCTGGGAAAGCAGATGAGGATGGCCCAAAGCCTTGGGACCCTGTGCACCCACATGGGAGACCTGAAGAAGCTCCTGACTCTTGGCTTCTGATCAGCTCAGCTGTGGCCGTTTGGGGAGTGAACCAGCATTCGGAAGATCTTTTTCTCATCAGACTAGCAGAGGCTTTATAATTTGCTTTAATTATTAATCACAAGTAAATGATGATTTAAACAACTTGATTGCATGTAAAGGAATACTCACTAATGATACCAAAGTCAAAATAATGTATATTTTTACTTTAATTTTGTGCTTATAGCAAAAGATTAAAAGTAAAAAAAAAAATCAGTTATTTCCTTGTAATAGGATTATTGTTATTATATTTTCACATATCCTCAACCTTTTCTGTAGGAAATGTATCACTTTTATAATCCCACTTGGAAGGGATTAAAATATATTCTTTTTTGCTTGAAATACCAAACATTGCAAGCTAAGAAAGTATCCCATTTTTCAGTGCATAGCTAGTAAATTGCAATTCTCCCTGTGAAACTGTAAAAACAAAAATGTACTTTGAGGAAGATACATGATTTGTGTGTGATTATCCTATTTTTTTGTTTTGAAATGTTTTTATCATTCTGATGGATTTTTTTTAACTTGAACTAGTATGACACTTCAGAGATTCAGAAGATGTCTTTAGGTGGGTTTGTTTAAAGAAAAAGTAATTAATATTTTGTTCTTCCAAGAGAATGATCCTCTGCCGGAGTCCTAGTTATCTTTTTTTTTGGGGGGGGGGGGGTGATGATTCTTTTTCAGTGTCCTTTTCCCACATATATTGTTATCTTATTGTATTTATTCTGTCAGCTATATTTTCTGCTCTGAAGAATCTTCAAGATAAGATTCGACGCTTGGAACTTGAAAGGATTCAGGCAGAAGAAAGTGTGAAAACCTTGTCTAAAGAAACAATTGAGTACAAGAAAGTGCTGGATGAACAGATACAAGAAAGGGAAAATTCAAAAAATCAGGAATCAAAACACAATCAAGGTTTGTTTGGTCACAAAAGAAATGAAATTCTATTCAATAAGCATTGTCAATTCTAAAATTCTGTGTGAATGTTTTGTGGTGACCAAGGTAACATTCTTTGGGTGCGACAAAATTGTGTTATGCGCAAGTACATTTTGAGAAGTAAAATGTCATGTTTCCTGCCTGGAAACAAAGCAGATCTGGCACGTAAGGGAGTGCTTAGGTGATCTGAAAGGACTGCCGTGAAGTATTGGATGCACAGAAGATTTCATCTTGGTAGCTGTGTAAAACTGTTCAAAGTGTGCGCTGATTGCTATTTCCCTCCTGCTTTTTAGAACTGACATCTCAATTGTTAGCTGCAGAAAATAAATGTAATCTTTTAGAAAAACAGTTGGAATATATGCGCAATATGATAAAGCACGCAGAAATGGAGAGAACATCTGTCTTAGAGAAACAGGTATGTTATCTCAGATTGATGATCAGGAATGGTCAGTTACAAAGAAAGGTGTGTTTTCTCAGCGAGGACTTAAATGATGCTATTATAGTAGTTCAGGACTGCAAATTGAGATCAGTTATGATATCTAAGCTTTTAATTTGATAGGCTTTTACTTAAATTTGGGAAAATACACTCTTCAGAGTTGTTCATCTTGGAAATTCCATCTTCCTGGAGTATGTAGTCAGCCTCGTAGTAGTGTTGTGGCCTTGCTTTTACAGAGGTTTTATGAGTTTCATTGGTTCTAGTTCATTTTCAGTTTAGTGGATTGGCTTGGTATTTTGTCAGTATACATTTTGCATTCCCTGAATTTTTTACATCCTTCGTATTTCATGAAAATTCTATGAAAAGTTTATGGAAAATTGGGGCAAGCTTTGTGGTTAATTGAGACACTGTTTGGGGTGAGATATTACAGGTGGAGGATTAACCCACTGTGCCTCAATGCTAGCCCCTCAAAGTAGATTTAATCAGAACTTTTAATAAAGTTAATTTTATAAGAGTAGAGCCCATCCTGGAAATAAAGTGTGGTTTATGCCATTTGTTAACCTAATGTATTCTTTAAAATTTGCAACTATGATTGAGCTGGATAGAAGAGAACAAGTAGTTTAAACACAATTTGTAGATAACATAGCTGTTGTTTATCATAGTCTATGTAGTTGATATAGACTTACATAGAAAGATAAACTTTATGAATTCTATTTACTGTTTTAGCTTTTTATCAATAGACTTCAATTTAATATATTCTAAATTAGTGTATTTCTACTAGCATAATGGTTTGTCATGTGATTGTCATCCTAACTGTAAACTTGGAGAATAGAGGATGAATAGGTGTGTGTTTAAATTAAATTACTAGGGCCTGGTGGCGTAGCCTAACAGCTTAAGTCCTCGCCTTGAACGCCCGGGATCCCATCTGGGCGCCAGTTCTAATCCCGGCAGCTCCACTTCCCATCCAGCTCCCTGCTTGTGGCCTGGGAAAGCAGGAGAGGATGGCCCAAAGCTTTGGGACCCGTGTGGGATGCCCGGGGGAAGTTCCTGGCTCCTGGCTTCAGATCAGCATAGCATCAGCCGTTGCGCTCACTTGGGAAGTGAATCATCGGACAGAGGATCTTCCTCTCTGTCTTTCCTCCTCTCTGTATATCTGACTTTCCAATAAATAAGTAAATCTTTAAAAAAAAAAATTAAATTACTAGGCTGATTGAAAGGGCTTGCATGCACAGCCTGGATGGCTAGGAAGTGTATGCCATCACAGGGCATAAAATAATCTTGCCATATGAAACCACGCCTTTTGTAAAATGCCATGCATGCTGCTACACTAACAGTCCACTTACATTATTCAGTAATGTCACTCGTGTCATCTTTGCCTTGTTTTCCTGGAATTGCTCTCTGAATTTAAGTGCTATGGAAATCCAGACAGGTAACATATAATGTATTCTGAGATTATTTTAAGGGTTAGATTTTCATCCCTGTATTTGTATTATCTTCCAGGTCTCCCTAGAAAGAGAACGACAGCATGATCAAACACATGTTCAGAGCCAATTGGAAAAACTGGATCTTCTTGAACAAGAGTATAACAAGCTTACCACAATGCAGGCTCTTGCTGAAGTCAGTAAATATATATTTTTTACTCATTTATGCACAGTAGTGGGGGCTTTTCAAATTAACTATTTTCTATCACTGGGTATAGTGGTAAAGGTGTTCTTATTGCAAAGGTATATGTAGGAGATTTTTAAAAGGAAACATTTGGAAAGAATGTTCACATTAAGTTATTACAACTGACATCACTTGGTTTAAGTTGTTCTATGGAGTAATTTTAATTTAGTGTCACTTTGAGGAGATTTTAATACAGAGTATAGTTTCATATTAGACCTCCATGTAACATATTTACCTTCATATGAAAATACATTCTTTGACCATAAGTTTTACCTAGAATTCTGTTCATCTACCACACAAGTAACTAATACTGATCACCTGGGAGAGCATTAGGGATGTTGTTATGCATGGAACCATTACTAGAGTGAACCAAGGAGCTTGAATTTAACCAAAATTTACAGTATGTTCCCAACTTAATTATGTTAAAATTTTGCAAATGCATATGTAAGGCTTTTCGCTGTTATCTCTCTTAATATTTTTTACCACTAGAAAAAGATGCAAGAGCTGGAAGCAAAACTTCACGAAGAAGAACAGGAAAGAAAACGAATGCAAGCCAAGGCAGCTGAGGTAAGATGAAATGTGAGTGAGTATGTATTTTTTTTCACTCCTCATATGTTCATAAGCAATCTAGAGATATTTTCTCAAATATGGCTTAGTTTTGGAAGCTGTGTATTTCTATAGACCAAGAATAAAATTTGATAGTATTTCAGTCAGCATCTTAGAAAACAATAGAAGGAAAAGTAGAGACTCTACAAGTGTTTATGTTATAAACACTTCTCACGGGTCACTCTCACGGGTCACTAACATAGGTTTCTTTATTTGATGGCTTCTAGAAACCAGAACAGAGGGTGAAGTAGTAAGCTGTCCCAGGTAGCTAGTGAACAAAACCAAACTGAGGAATTGCCTCATCAGGAAACAAGTACCGCATGCTTCCAATTTGGGATTTAAATCTTATTTACAGACTCAGTGGAATATGATTTTTGTTTTTTTAACCTGAAATTTCCTGTCAGTTTGATTTTTGTTTTTGTTGTTATGTAGCCTTTTGGCTTTCATTTTGACCCATTTCCTCATTTGGGTTGTCCTGTACGCCATGCCATTTCCTCACTTGGAACATGCAAGCTTATCGGTTGTGGTTCATATACATTGTGGTGTTAAGTCTATGCAAAAGCATTTTAAATGTATGACAAGTTCTTGGAAAATAGAATTTTTATTTTGACACCAAAAAAATTAAATCCATACACTGTTTTCATGATGTTTTGTTTATGTATATGTTGATTTCAAAAACGTACATAGCATTCTGTTCTCTGTGAACTTCTTTTTCAAAGTACCTTTGTGTGTAAAACACACAGTTGAACAAAGTCATTATTTTGTGAATTTTTAAAATGCATTTATTACACCTTTTTCATTAACCTGACAAGAAGTAAAGTGAAATCCTTTAATGTTGAAGGAATATTCACAGTAATAATTTGAGTTCTAAATGTGAGTGTTAGTGGAGGAACAGTGGCTAAGGATATGTGATTACCGGTCCAGTTAACTATAATTGTTTTACCCATGGGCAAGTTAAACCATTCAGAGCTTGGATTTTACTGTTTGCTATTAAATGATCCTCATATCACATCAGCTGAGCAAGGGGAAATCAAATGAGAAAGATGAAAGCACTTTAAAATGTTGGCACTCAAACACAAACAGAAGACAACTGCTAGTAAGAACAGTAGATTGGAGGAAGCTCCATTGTGGTGGGTTTTTTGTTTGTTTTGTCTTGGTTTTTTTAGTTAAAGTAAGGGCAGTAAATACCCATGTGGGCCTCTGATTAAGATTTGGAGGACTGAGATGTGGGTGAAGTGGGTAGTTGAATGTTTATTTTTCTTGGGTTTTTTTTCCCTCCCTCCAGTGTCTGCAGGGTGGGGTCCTCCTTGCTGTCAAGCTACATCAGAACCTGGGGATAAGGGATGGTTATTTGATGACACCTTAGATGTTGGCTCTTGCATGTGCCGGTGAATGGGTGCTGCGGCCTTGCCGAACCCAGTGTGTCCTCAGCCCTGGCTCTTGAGCTCACCAGCAGGCATTGAGGCCTAGGAGGGGTGTTCCCTAAGTTCCCCTACCAGGCTCACTTCCAGCAATGGAACTCATTGGCACCAATGGATTGGAAGCTTAATTGTTTGCATAGTGTTGACATTCATTAGTACTAAAAATGTTCCAGAGCTAAACTTTAAATGTAGTCAGTTTACTGTGTATAAATGAACATTGTTGACTGTGTAAGAGTGTACAGATGATCTGGGAGGTAGAGACCATGACCCTTTGTCACTGTGGAAGAATTAGTGATTTTTTTTACTGAAGTCATTGGCTCTGAGTGTTTAAGCACTGGCATAATTTCCTGGAGATCTTTTGGAATGTTTGTAAAATAAATTTTCCCAGCTTGGGAAATTAAAAATCGTGGAGTCTGGAGAAGAATCTAACAACAAATATTTTTGGATAAATGATAGACAATTGTGGTTGGTTTTTTTTTGTTTTTGTTTTTCTTTTTAATGGGAGTTTTAAGTTGACTTTTGAAAATCCTTTCTTAAAAATCCACAGGAAATATGGAATTTGTACCGTGAATTTTAATGTAGTTGCCAAACTGCTAACAAGAAGAAACTGAAAGCATATTGAAATACTCAGTACTTTAGGGCATAAATTTCTGATTCTTATACTGTAAGTGTATGAGTTTTCAAAAGAAGTTGTTTTGCTCTCTGACAGCTTTGAGTCTGACACAGGGGTGGGTGGCAGTTTCAAGAAGAAAGAATGTTGAAGCATCAGTTTGGAGTAATATACACATCAATTATTGTGAAATAGAATCTATGAAGTAACTACAAAGAGTGGAGCCACAATGCTCCTATGCTGGTGAATGATTAAATTGTAACAAATTCAAGATAAAGTGAGACTGGTATTGATTAAATTTTTTGACAAATGTTTGAATCATAATTACTCAGCTGTGTATTTTAATCAAAAATTTTAAATTTGCATCACAGCTTTTATTCGGCATGAATTTTAGGCATTTGTTTTTTCTTAGTTGCAGACTGGTCTGGAAACAAATAGACTTATCCTTGATGATAAGACAACCTCTTATGTTCCCAGTGGGAGAAGAATTAAAAAGAAGAAACCAAAACCTCCAGAAAAGGTATGAAAACAGAGCCAGCAAGGCAAAATGGCTCATTACTTGGTTTAAATTTGAGAAAACAGTCATAAACCATCTGGTACAACAACCTTAGGAGGATATGTCTCTCATTCTCATTTTCCAGTCTTCTTTTAGAAGACTGGAAAAATAATATGTACTCTTAAATTTGTCCCTAATATCAAAATATTATGTATAAAAGCATTTTGTAACTATAGAACACTAGTACAAATATTAGCATTATTGTACAGTATTAACTAACCTTTGGAAAATGTCTTAGGCTTTGTAGCTGCTGCTTTATCAAGTATTATTCCTCATCCCAAGCCTTTCCTGGACTTAGATACTTATTGAGGAGTATTTAACTAACTAGGGACTCAACTCTAGCCAGAATGCCAATATCAATAAGGCAAGTAATAGCCTGCTTATAAGCTGGAGTTTGAGGTCACCATGTGCATCATTTTTTTTATCACCATGCAAATAAAGTAAAACTGTTCTTTTTTCGTTCAGAAAAGTCCTAGGAACTACCTTGGAACACAGCCACATTATAGATTATGTTTGGGTGACATGCCATTTGTAGCTGGAAAGGTGAGTTGGTTATTTATTTTTACAACTTAGACTTCTACTTGAATGCTGACCCTTGCCTGTATGACTTTACGTGGTGGACACATTTGTAGATCATATTGATAGAAACACAAGTAAACATTTTATGAAATTGCAAAAAGGAAATGGGACACCTTATAGCACATGTGGTAGATAAGTAGAATAATACAGAAGCCCTGGTTTGAAGAAGTTATCCTAGGGCTTAAGGAAATTCATAGCATTGGGTTTTTAGTTTCAGCTCTGTAGTCTAAAATTTAGATACATATAGGTGTCTTTCCTCTGAATCATATGTAAAACTGAGTTCTCCAAGAAGACATCTTACCCACATATCATCTTTTGTTCTTAGAACTTCAGTAGAGAAATAGATATTAGGCTTTTTTTTTTCCAAATAATATTATTTCCTCCAAAAAATGTAGTATCTTGTTGAATTGCAGGACATCTTAGTTCATACTCCTATGTAGCTCTTTCTCTTTTTCACCATAGTCTTGTTTATCAAAGGGTGCCTAAAGAAAAGTCAAAATGTCTGAACAGGCCTTTAGAGAGAGACAGGTTCTGAAGCCCCACCACAGTCCTACTGAGATATCAGGCAGCGGCATTAAGAGTAGTTTTAACTTGTTTTCCAGTCCCAGTCTGATGTTTATTAAGTTGAAATCCTCACTTATAAATCCTACTCATGGTCTTTGCTGTTAGGGACCCCATAAAACAAATCAATCCTAAAAGAAAAAAATTTTTTTAACAGAGCTTTTTCTTCTCAACTTCTTAGATTGTAAATCATTATCTCCTTTTTCCTTGGCAATCCATCTTAAATATGACTCTTCCAGAAGAGTTCCTTGTTACCTCTTCACTGCCTTTATAAATATGGCAGACCTAGCACATAATAGAATCTGTGTCATGTCCTAAACTGCCAGCTGATTCAGCTTATCATAGCATTTTTGTGAAGAAAGGCACATTATTCCTTACACTGTTGGATTCTAGACTCAAAGGTCATTCCCTGCATTTTACCTTTAAATCCTCTGTAGGGACCAGTCTTATGGGGTTTGTTTTTGTTTTAAGATTTATTTATTTGAAAGAGTTACAGAGATAGGGAAGACAGATCTAATGTGCTAATTCACTTCCTGAATGGCCTGCATGGCCAGTGCTCGGCCAGTTCTCTCACACAGGTGTAGGGTTCCAAGGACCTGAGCCATCTTCTACTTTCCCACACTCTTCAAGGGAGCTATATAAGAAGTAGAGCAGTTAAAATTTAAACCAGCAGCCAAATGGGACATCAGCTTCACCCCCTATGCTACAACAACCACCAAAGTGGAGTCTTATAAGCAGATTTTAATCAAATCTCTGTGTGAATAGATTCAGAGAAGCTAATTCAGCTTTTCACATTTATGTTTCCCTAAATTTGATTGCATAGCTGGTAATTTTCAGTGATGTCACTACTAACAAAGATTGAATGGAAACAGTTAAAACAGGACTTTCCAACCGACTAGTTCTTTTGAAGTACTTAAGGTTTGTGAAAATGGTTCTTTTACTCTAATAACTTCATGTACAATCATTTGGCTGAATGTCTCTCAAACTGTTGTAAGAGACCCATTTTAATTTTTAATTTACTTGATTAAACCAATATGTCCGTAAAATGTCATTAAAATAAATTACTACAAAGTATGTAAGACAAAGTACAGAACCCATTTTCTAAAATTTTTAATTTGTTTTTAATTTGAGGGACAGTAAAACGGAGAAGAAACAATCTTCCATTTACTCATTCAAAAAAAACCTGATTGCAGCAGACAGGGAGGGCTGGGCCACTTTGCAGCTGGGAGCCCAGGGAGCCAATGCTTGAGCAGTCATCTGCTCCCTCCCAGGCCACATTAGCAAGGATCAGGAATGAGCAGCAGAAGCCGGAACTCAAACCTTGGCTTCCTGGTACTGGTTATGGTATGCCATATGGCTTCTTCATTGTTCCACCAAGTGCCTTACTCTGTTACTTAATGGAGCATCTGTCACTAGTTCACTTTCCCTCTGTGGGAACGCAATTCTAGTTTCTACTTTCAACCCACTTAGCACAATACAAATCCTTGAGGATCAGCACTACCACCCAGGTTTGCAGTAGCAGGAGGCTGGAGTTGAGTAGACCTGGACATTTGAACCCAGGCATATACGGTTGGTTCAACAATTACTGTCTAACAGATAAAATAGATACGTAAAGTGTATTTTGATAAATCCTGTATTTCAAAAGTGTTAGAAGTGATTTGAGAATAAACTTACTATGTGGGGTTTTTTTAAGATGTATTAATTTATTTGAAAGGCAGATTTACAGAGAGGAAAGACAAAGACCTTCCTTCCTTTGGTCCACTCACACTAAGATGGAGCTGAACCAGTCCAGACCCAGGAGCTTTTTTGGGGTCTCCCATGCAAGGGCCTACAAGACTTTGAGCCATGCTCCACTGCTTTTCCAGGCCACAAGAGGGAGCTAGAACAGCTGAGACATGAACTACTGGAAAGGATCCTGGGGCCCGGTCCGGTAGCCTAGTGGCAAAAGTCCTCGCCTTGTACACACCGGGATCCCATATGGGTGCCAGTTCATGTCCCCACTACCCATCCAGCTCCCTGCTTGTGGCCTGGGAAAGCAATCGAGGATGACAAAGCCTTGGGACCCTGCATCTACGTGGGAGACCCAGAAGAAACTCCTGGCTCCTGATCGGCTCAGCTGTGGCTGTTGCAGCTACTTGGGGAATGAGTCATTGGACAGAAGATCTTTCTCTCTGTCTCTCCTCCTCTCTGTATATCTGGCTTTCTAAAAATAATTTTTTTTAAGGTAGGATCCTGATGCTTGGATGTGGAGGATTAGCCTCTTGCTCCATCACACCAGCCCCTCTCTGGCAGTTTTGAGGCAGCTCTTAAAAATTTGTTTGAACTAGATTTTTAAAAAATGTAATAAAATTTCCATGCAAACTACTGAAAGGAAAAAGCATCTACAAATATTTCTTCAGGAATAGAAATATTCAGTTAATTAAAAATGATGTCAAGTTCAGGTTGCAGCTTAGTAATTTAGCTCCTTATTCCCACAGTAAGGAATTTGCATATTCTTTTTTTTTAAAAAAAAAAGATTTATTTTTTTATTTTTATTGGAAAGGCGGATATACAGAGAGGAGAGACAGAGAGGAAGATCTTCCGTCCGATGATTCACTCCCCAAGTGAGCGCAACGGCTGATGCTATGCCGATCCGAAGCCAGGAGCCTCTTCCGGGTCTCCCACGCGGGTGCAGGGTCCCAAAGCTTTGGGCCGTCCTCAACTGCTTTCCCAGGCCACAGACAGGAAGCTGGAAGGGAAGCAGGGCTGCCGGGAGTAGAACCGGCGCCCATATGGGATCCCAGGCGTGCAAGGCAAGGACCTTAACCACTGTGCCACCGCGCCAGGCCCAGAATTTGCATATTCTGTCCAGATTTTATATCAGTGGTCTTTAAATGGCATGATCAAAACAGTGTTTTATGGCTGTGACAGGTGGTACTGTTAGACTGGGAGCAGGCAGACTACCAGAACGTGCTTTTTATAGCCAAATAACGGACTGCCTCACCAGTAACAGGTGGAGTCGGCAGGACTGGTCAGTGAGTTACTACAGGTTGATTTCACGGGCGTTGAGGCACTTAGTTTTAGCTTGGGGAATAAAAAGAAAGCTTTGTTTTGTCTTCCTTCTTTAGTCAACAAGTCCCAGTCACGCCGTGGTCGCCAACGTTCAGCATGTCCTGCATCTACTGAAACAGCACAGTAAAGTTCTGTGCAACGATCGCGTAGTCAACAATGTTCCTTTGGTGAAACAAATGTCGCCACGAAGCAGTAGAAGTAAGAAGTCAGGCACCCCTCCCTCCTGCAGCATTCATGAAGAGTTGTCAGAAGTCTTACAGACTTTACAGGATGAATTTGGGCAAATGAGCTTGTGAGTTTTTATGTTTAAATTACATTTAGTTCTGAAACCTCACTATTCTTTTAGCTTTTTGTTAGACCTGCTATTTTATCCAACAAATAATGGTGAGCTTAATCTTTGAACCAACCAAGCTTCTTGGACTCTAATTTAATTATTGAGGTAGAGTATCTCCCTTATTTAACCTTATTTTTGCTCAGTGCTTTGAAGATTAAGGTTTATAGTGCAGATTTTTTTTCCCTATTGATAGACAGAAAGCCAATAGAATATTAAAAGTAAGCTTATTTTAGTGCCAAGAATTGTAAAAGTCTTTTTAAAAAAGATTTATTTATTTTTATTGGAAAGTCCTATATACAGAGGAGGAGATGGAGAGGAAGATCTTCCGTCCACTGATTCACTCCTCAAGCGGCCGCAATGGCCAGAGCTGAGCCAGTCCAAAGCCAAGAGCCAGGAGTTTCTTCCTGGTCTCCCACGCAGGTGCAGGGTCCCAGGGCCTTGGGCTGTCCTCAACTGCTTTCCCAGGCCACACGCAGGGAGCTGGATGCGAAGCTGGGCTGCCAGGATTAGAACTGGTGCCCATAAGGGATCCTGGTGCATGCAAGGCAAGAACCTTAACTGCTAGGCTACTGCACCAGGCCCAAGAAACATTTTTTAAAGATTATTTTCATTGGAAAGGGAGATGTATATATAATATAGAGAGACAAAGAGAAAGATCTTCCGTCTGTTGGTTCACTCCTTAAATGACCATAATTGCTGGAACTGAGCCAATCCAAAGCCAGGAGATTCTTCTGGGTCTCCAACTTGGGTACAGGACCTCAAGGCTCTGGGTCATCCTCTCCTGCTTTCCCAGGCCACGAGGGAGCTGGATGGGAAGTGGAGCTGATGGGACACTAACTGGCACCATATGGGATCCCAGCATTTGGAGGTGGAGGACTAGCCAGTTGAGTTAATGTGCTGGCCCCAACCATAGTTTTTTATAACAGGGAACTTTAAGACCCCTTATAAATTAATTTTAGTTAAATATACAACTTACAATGATTCTGAAGGACAGGATATTTCCCTAGATATAGGATGCTCTTATAGTTGAAACAGACTGTACAGTTAACTTTTGAAATTAAAGATTTTTGCCGTAACCTTTTAACTCCGAAACCTTTGGTGAGTGGTCCTAGCAGTGAAACAAAGGAAATGTAACCTAACCCTACTTTCACTTTGTATACAGTGATCACCAACAACTTGCAAAACTCATCCAGGAGTCACCAACTGCTCAGCTAAAAGATAACTTGGAGTGTGAACTAGAGGCATTAGTGGGAAGGATGGAGGCAAAAGCCAACCAAATAACTAAAGTTCGGAAGTACCAGGCCCAGGTAAGCTCTGTATTCTTTGCTCAGTTCTAAAGATTTAAGAGGGAAAGGGGTGCAGGAGTACTTTCTGAAAAATATTAAATGATGATGCTAATGATATATCATAAGGAGGGATATTTCCTTATAGAAAGTACTTACTGAATTCATTAAGAATTGGTCATAAGTGTGTTAAGACAGCACCGGATTTTAGTCAGTGGATTTAAGCTGCATTGTTTTAAATACAAGAGTGCTTAAGCTATTTGAAAAATGGAATTTAAAAAGTTTATTTTGGTGCAGAAAGTTTTTAATGCATATTAAGGCTGCTGAAAGGATTTATGGAAAATGAGTATTTTTAAATAATTACATCAATTTCAAGACTATTTTGTACTGAGAGGAACCTGCATTTTTCAAACTTTCTAAAAATCTTTCTACTGACCTATTTTATGTGTGTGATTAAATGTGTGATGAGCTTAAATGGTTCGGAGTTTATCCAGAATGAAATGTTTTGAGCTTAGTTTTCATAGGGCAGGATTATAGATAAGTGGAAAAGTTCCTAATTCCGTTACCCATTCTATTAAAGTAGCCATTTATTTGATGGGAGTCAAGTTCAGCAGTGAAGTCATTGTAGGTTTTTCAGTCAGAAGCACGATTCTGTTATTGCTGTGGGTAATGGATTGGGGTCAAGGTAGAGTGGCTAAGACTAGCAAGACTGTTAGGCTTATCGGACTTGGTTGTCATTGGACCAAGAAAATAATTGTAAGGTAGGCAGACTGGATAGATACAGACAGACATTGTTTTGCAAAGTAGGAATATCAAGGCCATTTACTGCTAGATTTATTATGGAGGGAGAGGAATTACTGCAAAAATGTTTCTCACTGATGGAACCAATTTGACTGACATTTATTCAGACTATCTGAGAAGAGTGTATGTATTTTTAAATTAATTAACCTTCACCAGGGCATTTTAAGCTTACTTGCAAATGATAGAGCTATTGTACATTTCAGTCTTCAGTTCCAAAACTTGAATTTTTAAGTATTTTTTCCAAAGTTCATGTTTGAAAAAAGAAGCATATATAAATAATTCTGTAGAGAGTAACAGTCTAACTTGTTTCTTGTACGTTAGACTTGGCATCTCATTACAGAAAATAAAGCTAACATGTCAGCTGGAGTTTAGCTCACATACAAATATTCCTGTTTTAAGTCATTTAAAATATTTACTGTAAGAATAATTTAAAAGATTCAAACTTGTTTTCAGTACCACGTACCTCTGTTTCTTCATCCATCATTTTTGTTCAGACTGGTTTCCAGTATACCATTCTCCTCCTTTCCTCCCTTTAGAATTCTGTGAGTTGTTTTCCTGTATTTTTTTTTCCCTCCCTTGAGCCATTGCCATGTCATCTTTCCTTTGCTTCTTACCCTATCTGGCATTTGACAATACTGTCTGATAGTATGACCAGCATCAAAATAATGGACAGAACATTAACAAGTACAAAACTATAGTTTTAACTATAGTTTTTTAATCTTGGACAAGGTTGTTTGCATTAATGGTACTATTAGAAGAAATGTTTTCCTTTTTCCCCTGCGTTGGTGATTTGGTTTAGCTGGAGAAGCAGAAGACAGAGAAACAAAGGAAGGAATTAAGATCCACGAAGAAGACTCTTGAGGAAGATGGAAGCAGCAGCAACCGAACTGGAATCACAGGGAACACAAATAAGAAGGATTATACCAAATTACGACCTGGAGAAAAAAGCAGGAAAAATCTGCAGTTATTGAAGGACATGCAAACCATACAGAATTCATTACAAAGTGGTGATTTGTGTTGGGATTACTGACTATCAGGTCATAAATTTTATTAAGATAATAAGTATCTCACCAATCAGATGTTGACAGTTAATTTTCCAGGTCACATATTCACTTATGTTGGAATTAGTGAATAGCAAGTGTTAAGAGGCTCAAGCTTCATTACATAGACCTGTTTTTTTTTTTTCAGCCTCAATAAATGTTAACATTTCAGTGGAAGCCAAGGGAATTTGAAGCTTCAGAAAACACACATTACTGTTTCTTGAAGATGAATTTGCTGTACTCATGCACTGTACTTTGTAAACAAATCACCAATTTTTTTACTTGTGGGTGTGATTTTTAAAATTAGTTTTTATATTATAAATAAAGTTGGGTTTAAGTTTTCAAAAATAAGAGGCTGTCTCAAAGGAAATGTTTGCTAAATAGTCTTTTTTTAATCCTCCTCTTACAGAATTTGCCCACTTCCTATTTCCCCTATGACTAATAGCATACTTTGACTATTGATATTTCTTGTATTTAATTATTTATGTATATTTAAGCAACTTGTTTTGGTTTCTTTTTGGCACTTTGTTGATTCACTGTCATGAAACATTGATCAACATTAAAGCAATTTGTATTGCTTTTTAATCCATTGTTTTAATATTTTTTAAAGATCTAAGCAATCATTTTAAGTCAGTTACCTCTAAAACTTAAAAAGCATTTTACAATATAAACTGTGAATGAAATTTTGTAATGAGAATGGGAGAGAGATGTGAAACATATGCATAAGCTTTTTTAAATAATTTTGTAATCATGTTATTGAGTCAAAGTATTATGGTTCTTAAGCTTGTAACTTAGAGAACCTGTTGAATATTTGCTTTTATGGGTACACAGTTTGAATGCATTATGAACTGTACACCCAAATTATGTCAATGTAAATCATATATTTGCATAGATTATTAGACCTGTTAACATTTTATAAGTTTGTCACTGAAGTCAATAAAACAGCCTTTTTAAGGAAACAAACTTTCCTTAATCTGTTAATAAAGGCTTAATTTATTATATACTTTGAAAGTGCACCTGTAAATAGGACATGTTATAAAAAATTCAGGAATATACAATGTTATTTGCCATTCTTATGCTTACAATGAAACCATCAGCAACAAAGTGGGATCTTCTCATCTTGTATGGGGGGATGCTCCAGCCGTGTAAGTAAAACACTAGCCACATGTAAAATTCTCCTACCTGCTTTTCCTGTGGTTTGTTGAAGTTTTAGAATATCCAGACAGCAGGCATGAGCTGTGACATCCAGCACTGTCAGTGTCCTGGTTCGGTGGGGGAAGGATTTGTGAAGTCCTTGGAAATCCTCTGGATACTTGGGCATGTACTTTTCTAATAAGCAGGTTTGCAGCTTCATCACATTCACAAGAACCCAAAGGTGAAAATCACTGCTGTTCACATGGTAAATATTTCTCATTGTTTCAACTATTAAACTTTTGTCATCTCCTTGTTTAAATTTCAGGTCATTAAAAAGTGTAACAATCATTTGAATTTTAGTAGCTGAAAGTCCTCATTAGAAAAGTGATTAAATGGTGCTAAAACTCACCCCAGCGCTGAACTATAAGTGAAACTGAAACAACCATTCCAGCCTTTGATACTCTTTAAGGTGAGATTTTAAAATAAATACTTCCAGTTTTATCTGATACTTTATAGTAAATGAATATGTAATAATCTGTCCACTTATGTCGAATCAGAACTTTAATGCATTGCAGATATATAAGATGCCCGTTTTGGATACCATGCCCTGTGACCTACAGTTTGTTTATGTACTGGTTGTAGACCTCTGAAGTGTTACTACAGGGCACTGAGTGCGGTGCTTATAGTCCTGTATGCAGAGCTGTGGGATACAGAGGATTGATGAATTGGGATAGGTTCTCATAGGATGACATGACACCTAACATCTAGCACAGTTGGTCAACCTGTTCTCTGCCAGGAGTCATCGGGATGATATTTGCAGACCATACAGTATTATCAACTTAAGGAAAGTAGCCTTTAGATTTGTTGATTTCAAGTCCTGCCTGCAGGCCTCACTTTCCTTAACCTTGATCTGCAGAATAGGAATCAGTCAGTAGGGAAAACAGTGAAAGGAGGCAGGAAACTATAGTTTCCATGGAATAGCATAATAGTACTGGTAATTAAAAAAATGTGTGCAAGTGAGAATGGAACAGTAGGCAGAGAGCAGGTATCAGGAGTCTATTCATCTCTAAGTTCTGTGTTCCCTAAATTCTGTGTTCCCTGGGAAAGGTACATCTGTTCTGCCATCTCATAGACATGCATCAACAATGAATTTCACACTTATGAAATATTGTGTAAAGTGCTACTGATCTTTCTCCCCTCCTACACTTGAAGCCCTGAGCCATCTTAAATGCTTAGAGTGCATGCACGTCAATTAGATTTCTTACATAAAATGAGGAAAACCACAGGAAGGTTTTGAACAGAGACTTTACTCGCTTTTGAGTGAAATTTATGAGAATTTAAACCACTCTTTATATTACAATAGAAAACTTGAAATTATTGATCTCCAGCTGTATTCTTTTATGTTGGCTAATGATTATGATTGAATGGAGAATGGATTTAATATTTGGAGTGCAAAACTTAGCTTATTAACTACTTACTGTAAGGAAAATTTTAACACAGTAATCAAGTGACCAGTAAATTTCACACAATAGCCAATCATTTTGGTACCAATTGTACTAATACTGCTCCCTGTAAAACCAAGAGCAAGGCAAGGTTCAAATCGTAGTGAATTACTAAGGGAAACCATTCTATGCAATGGTTCAGTCCCAGTATAAGCACAACAGGCAGGGTTGGACCAGGCAGAGACTTCCTGTGGGGCTCTCCGTGGGCAGCAGGGCCATAGTGCTCTGAATTCACCCTGTGATGTAGGATGTGAGCATCACAAGTTGTGGTCTAACCAGTTACATCGTAATCTCCTCCCCATATCACTTTTTTCTAAGCTCCTCAAGGCAAAATGGCCTCAAATTGAGCATTTCCATTTGGAGCAGGCAAATTAAATTTCCAAATAACATTTCTGCCCAAAAAAATCCTAAGGCAAACAAGTTTAAACATGGATGAAATTTTCTTAAACAGATAAGGGGCAAGAAGCTCCCTTGTAACAGTTAAGTACATATCTCTTCTCGAATAAAACAAAGGAGTCAGATGTCATACCAGCACCAAACCCCTGCAGCAGGCCAACAGTGAAACAAGATTTCCTTTACTGGCACTGAGACTGTGATGCAGCTTTTTCTTGCAGTTACATTTAATCATTTATTAGCGTTTCAGAATTTGCAACATAGTAGTAAAATATTTTATGTGAAATTTGAGCACAGTACAACTCTGCATACTTGAGAAAAACCAATTAATTTGCAAATGCAACAGAAGGTACATGGCAAGTTTCTCGGCAGTTGTTAGACACAAAAAATAGGGTAACATGTCCTATGATGTTTCTAGTAATTGGGAAAATGAAACTAACCTGAAGAGCGTATTAATCTTAGATATCCTGGTTGTTTTACGTTTCCCTTTTTATTTCCCCACCGACATAGCCATAAGGCATCATTTTGGAATAACTTTCTGGTAAGTATACAAATAATTATCAGCAGTAATTTTCAATTATGAGTACTCATAACATTCTGAAGACATACTTTTTTTACTTACCACAAATGTGGAAGGTTGTTGAAAGGGTATGAAATCTTGGTTTGCCACAATATTGAGGCCCAATCTTTATGAAAACTAATGTTCCTGTGTGCACTGAGTGCTCTTCCATCAAGAGATATTTTTCTAAAGTAGTTTTATTAAGATAGCATCCTCCTTCTTAAAATTCGAAAATAGTTCCCAGCATGAATCCAGGATTTACATCTTTAACTTTTAAAAGATTAGTGTTCTATTTGTCTAGCTTCACATAGCTATGCTGCTACAGTTCTAAACTCACCCAAGAGAGATTGAGAATAAATAAAAGCAACCAAACTCTCTCATAGATGTGTTTTAAACATGGAAGACTTTCTACTTATAAAGCTGCCACTGTAACAAGTTCATAGCAGTCAGTCTCAGTCCTTTCACACGACAGTTTGGACAGGAGTGACACACTGTGCTGGAGAGCTGGCTCTCTCTGAGGATGAGGTGGATCGGTTGGAAATTTCTCTCTGTAGTTCCTCTACCTTTCTCTGAAGCTCCGCTCTTTTAGCAAGAAGTTCTTTGTATCTGTTATGAATAGGTTCCTAAAAGGACAAGACAGTTATTCAGGGGACAGTCTTAAGTCACTCTGTCACAGCTGATTTCTTTCCCATGATTTGTGACCAACCTTTGCAATCCATCAGCAAACATTAAATTCCATTAACTACTGTAACTTTCCCAGTTTGCTCAAGTGTCCCCCAACAATACCCACTGTGTGAATGCTCTTGAAACTGCTTTTACAATCAACAAAACAATGCTAGAAATTCCCTATTGTTGCAGATTGTCTCAACTGTTACCAGTTGTAACATCCTTACCTTGTCAAACAGATGTTTTTAACTTTCCTATCACTTTTTTTTCACCCTAGTGAAACAGTATCCCTAAGATGTTATATAATGCAATTCTTTTAACAGGTAGAGAGGTAAGGTTTTTATATGCACAAATAATTTTTCCAGTTGGTTTAAAGAGGGACAGATAAAGTAAACTTAACACTTGCATGGCTAAAAAATTCCATAGTATATGGCCTAGGGTGTTAGCATACCTGGGGTTTCATCCTTGGATTCCACCTTATGTAGTATCCCACCCAGAGCTCTAGGTGGCGCATGCTGGCTACTGGATAAAGGACATGATTGGAATAGCTCCCATACAAAGGATTAGTGAAGTCTTCCAGCTGGCTGTTTATGTAAGACCACAGTGACACAGTCCTTCTAGGAAGATTCTGTAAAAAATTATATATATGTATATATAAGGATTTTATACCACACCAGAGTGCTTATACTTTCGGTAAAATGTTAGCAATTTGGCGGGTGTGAACTTGAACACTTTAACAATAAACATTAAAACATGGGAAAGTGTGGCACTCTTCCAACAGAGTTCCCATATAACCCAATTGTACCACTCCCAAGTATATACAAAACATACAATGTGTCCATATGAGAATTTTATAAAAGTTCAGAGCAATATTATTCATAAAAGCCCAAAAGTAGGAATACAAGTCTGTCGACTAATGCACACAATGAAATCAGTTTTTAAGAAGATATGTGTTGGAATGCAGGTGACTTTTGAAACAAGCTAAAGGAGCCCAACACATCACACACTGAACTTTTGTTCAGAAAAGGTAAAAAGTTTAAATCGTTATGGTTGCTTAGCTTTATAGACAAGGCTTTCAGACCACCAAGCTGTTCTTAGAATACAGTTTTATGCAAATTGCAATTAGAACAATCCTACCAATACTCTTGAAAGATGAAATTAGGTTATAAGTTAAGCAAGGCTGCTATGTAACATTGCAGGAGTTATTGAGTTTGCACCAAGTAGGGAAACACTGCATGTTAGGCACAAAGGATACACTGAGTTTAAAAGTTGGACACCTGACAAAGGAACTTAAGGTCTAGAAAGCATTTAGTTTTTGAGACCTTTCTGTACTTAATATGTCTTGTTTTTGCAATAGTCAGTACTAATAGCCTTATTTTAAGAAGTAAACATTTTCTTTTACATGATTTCTGTATAATAGTCTCATTTATATGCATTTTCCTTTGGGAATCTGAGCTGCCCATCTGTCCAGGTGTGCATTATTCCAGTTCTTTTTAGCGGACTCAACAAGTCAGGCAGCAGTGAGTGCATAGCCCTGTGACAGTAAAGTTCAGGTCCAGGTAAAGCGAAAAGTTACCACGTTACAGCTAAAAGATGACTCAGCATGGAACCCGAAAGCAAGTTGAGTGAAATCTGGCTCACGTTGTAAGGAAGAGTACATAGAAGAGATGGAGGAAGGAAGGATATAACTCAGACTTTACCTCTTTTACTCTCTGCTGCTCGCTATTACAGAGGAATGTTCCAAATAAACAGCTGTAGAGGTGGTCCAAAATGGTAATAAGAAAATACTCATTGAATTCAAATGCGGTAGGAAACTGCAAATTTAACACCAGGAACACACAAAATTACAATTTTCTCAAGGATGTCTGTCCTTATCACAATTAGCAAGTCTCTAACAGTACTTAAAAAGTTAACATTCAAATGTGTGTTTCTACACCATTATAGCATTTCTGTTCAAAAATCACTTCCAACTTTCTCAGGCAATTCCTGACAACCTCCTTTTCCCATCAAAAGTGTGAATGACTTTGTAAGCTTTTCCGTTAACGTTTCAGCAGTCATTTTAATAACTACAAGAAGTTACCAAAGTTGGCTCTAGGAAAAGCAGTACATAAAGTCACATATGCAAAACAGATGAAGTTTGTAAGTCAGTGTACTTAAAATCTTTGCAGGCAATATACCCTGAATGAAAGTCCCTTAGAAACCACTACTTCTACAGCATCTTCCCAACTAAAACTTCACCCTCTAATCCAGACCAAAATCTCGACTGGATATCTTGACCTATAGAGTAATATGGGTTAGAACTACATACCCTCAAATAGTAAAGGCTTTGGTTTAATTCAGCCTAATACTTCAGAAATATTCAAAAACTACCAACTACAGGATTGCAAGGGAGTATTCCAAGGTTTATTCTTTCGAACAGTCCTTATTGAAATAGTCCAGAGCTGCAGTCAAAATCATAGGGATGAGAATGCTCTGGCCCTGAACAGCCTCCTAAACTTCAGGAAGCCATAGTAAGAATACCACAGCCCATTTCTTGAATACTAAAGGGTAGTCACTAGACCTTTATTTATTGTGGCTGTGAAGCTGAATAAACATGTTAAAGCATATGTCAGGAAAAAAAAAGCGATTAAGAGCCTTTGGGGCCTGTGCCATGGATAATGGGATAAATTTTAGCCTGAGTGGCCAGCGTACTATATGAGCCCCAATTGAAGTCATGGCTGTTCCACTTCGAATCTAGCTCCGTACTAATGCATCTGGGAAACAAGGGCACACACGGGTCACCCTAACAGGCCCAGTTACAGCTGTTATGGCCCTTTCTGGGGAGTAAACCAGCAGATGGAAGATCTCTCTCCCCTCTAACTCTGCCTTTCCAAAAAATAAGTCTTAAAAATCATCACAGTTCATTTAATAATTTAAAAAATGACCCCATCTCTTGTACGTGCATACTTTTAACAACCTTATCAGCCAACTATGAAAGCACTCTGGGGCACAAACAAAATCCTCAGGAGCTGCACTGAGGGTAGCTTTACTGTCTTGGCAGAACTGTTAGCTCACTTCTGGTAAGACAGCTTAATCAGTACTTACTTACTAATATCAAAAGTAAAACAGCCCATTAACTGCTTCTATGGTTTTTTAAATCATATGCAGAAGACAGTGGTTTTTGTCTTTACATGTTTAAAATCTGAAGAGCCCATTAACAACTGCTTCCTGATCCAGTGAAGAGATGAGTGTAAGGATGGGAGTATAGGGGAAAGGAACAGAATTGGGCTATAATTACAATAAAATTGGTTCTATTTTAACATGCACTATTTCCTTAAGTCCCCATTATAAAATATTTTAAGTTCTATCAAACATTAGATTATCTGGCATTTACTAAACAGGTTTAAAATTAAACTGCTTAGTTTTGGAACAGACTGGAAGCTTTTTTTGAGATAAATACACAACAATGTCAAACAATGGGTCACTAAAAAACATCAAGATAGGAAGTAGTACAAAGGAGTTTCTAACAACTTGTACCTAGATGAAAATACCGATAGCAATCTAACAGTACATTGCCAGGTCCTAGGATGGCAAAACAAAAGGAAAGAATACATGTTGGCAAGGTATTTGCAGAAAAACAATTCATGTGTTTCTGATTGGAAAGCAAATTAACACTGCCCTTCTGAAGAGAAGGTCCTCAAAAATCTAAAACTTAACACCTACCACAACTTATAGCTGTCCCACATCTGGGAATATATTCAAAGGAAATAAAGTGAGCTTAGCAGACAGATCTGTGCTCCGTATTCTAAACAACACTCAATCTTTAGTTATCCATAAGTGGATGAATGGATTATAAAAATGTTATGTATACTCAATGAAATATTAACCATATAAAGATTGGAATACTGATTATTTGCAGTTAGGCGGATGATACTGTAGGTCCCTTATCACTTAAGTCAAATAAGCCAAGCACAGAAAGATAGTACATGTTCTATGAGAATAAGTGATTCAGCAGTCTTTGGTAATAGGATCACAGTGGGAGGTTAGATCCTGGGTACCATCAGAAGTAGTCATTTCTGGTGTTTCAAAGCACAGATGACTAGTTACAATAATGTGCTATAAATTAAAAAGAAGCTATGGCCAGTACAGTGGCATAATGGGCTAATCCTATGCCTGCAGCACCAGCATCCTATACAGGCACTGGTTCATATATTGGCTCCCACTTCTGTTGCAGCTGCCTGGTAAGCAACAGAGGATGGCTCCACATGGGAGACCTGGAAGAAGCTCCTGCTCCTGACTCCAGGCCTTAGGTACACCCAGCTCTGTCCAGCTGTGGTGGCCATTTAGAGAGTGAACCAGTGGATGGAAGATCTTTGTCTAATTTTTTTCAAGTAAAAGAAA